AAGGTTACACGCTTGCAGAAGTAGGGAAGGAAACGAGATAGTATCCAACAAGCCCATGGATCCCCGTGGCCATGGGAACAGCGGCACGAAAACCAGCAGCACGGGATATACAACATGCGGAATGAGATATCAGGATATGTGTATAAAGGCGACGATGTACATAGCGACTACCATTACGGCGGCTTCCCCGGCTGCCCCGCAGGACCTGCCGCCACTCGGCCTATAGGGCTGACAGATGCGTGTATGAATAATAATAATAATAATAATAATAATAATAATAATAATAACCCTACTGCTGTTGCCAACACTAATTGAGCTAACATGGCTCAAAAAGTTTTCTCGGAGTTATGCGCACACAAACCGGCTTCGGAGCGAGGAGTATACCTAAGACATCCGCGTGCCTGGATAACTTCACATGTCTATGGCAGCAGACAGATTTCGAAAAAGCAAAAAAGAATACTTCCTCACTCAAAGACGAGCGATTGCTATTGTGCTGGATCTCAAAGAAAATCGGCGAGCATCTTGAAAAAATCGTGGGAGCCGCAGTATGGGATATTCGGGCTATTCATGGATGGTCGTACTTTGCTACTGCTCATTACTAGGTCAGCCCCAGCAGATCTAGATGCGACCAGGTCTTGGGGCAAACTACCAAGGATACCAGAGAAGAACTCGACCACCTCCAAACCACTAACGCGTCGCTTTTATAGCCAGGCTTTCCGTGCTTAACAAAGGGGACCTACAAACGGCACATGCGCCTTGTTATCGTTTCTTAATGCAAGTATATGCATTTTAATCAACCTTCCACAGTATCCTGTCAGGCGGTTGTGCCCTCATTTCGGGAACAGGTGTTGTGCGACACCCCGTGGAAGGCCAAACAGCCAAGAACAGAATTGCAGCAAGATGGAACACCGACGTAAATTCAGATTGAATATCGCATTTGATGCCAGAGATTAGAGAATACAAGTTCGGTAAAACCAAGAGCATAATTTAGCAAACAGCGAAAAGACAGACGACCTGAAAGTGAGGGGCTTATATTGGTTGGTGAACAGACCCCTCCACAATAAGCAGCTCTTTGCATCCATGGAGAATCCGTGACCGTTCTTGGTTATGTGTCGGGAGGTGGATAAGGGTTCTTTGCGTCGCTACAGGCCCAAACACTATGATAATCACCCAATCAAGGACGAAACATACTATATAAATATTACCGCATAGAGTTTGAGTACAGGCGTCGGGAACTCATCAGTTTTCGTCAAGGCAGAACGCCGGCTTTTATCTTCAATGCCCAAAAGGGAAGATAGTCACATGTTCGAGACTCCTCGAAGGAACTACAGTTGCGCTACCAGAATGGGCAAACCGTAAGTTTAATCAACCCATATAGGCCCCGAAGAAACTAATTTTGGCCGTATGCCCATAGATGGGGAATACTACTTAAAGGATGGGCTCCTAAGCGGAATAGTTATGTGGCATGGTGTCCTTGATCGTCAGCGGCGGATTCATGGCGATTTGGCTTGTCATAAGTGGGGATTTCAGACCGCGTCTACCCTATTTCTATCTCTCATGGGCACTATTGGCCTTATCATCCTTCAAACATCACATCTCCTATTCCACATTGACATAAAACAGGAAGATACAAAAGACACTCGTCGTCTTCCATTATATCCAGTCAAGCTATCTTGACACCTGACTTACAATGCAATCCAGCCTTAACCAGATGATTACTTCTTGTGTTCTCTATTCTAGTGGTGTCCTTCATCCCTGGTTCCTATAGTGGCGGTATGCTGAAGGCATGAACTGTCACGGAGCTCAGCCAGGTTAATGGAACATCAACTCATGTGTTCTACCTAGGTAGCTATCGACGAGAATAATTGACATGAGGAAGGAAGAAAGGAGGTAACGCTGTAGTTATCAATAAAGCAAACAACTGCAACTCACGTGACAGCCAGCCAACGTGACCAGGCCGTCACATGAACCAGAGATTCTCGGGATTTATCTGGGCCTTCGTGGGAGCGACACAGGTATGGCTGGCGGACGAATTGCTGGCTGCTTCTGGGAGGAAGGGAAGGATGAATTAAACAAAGTGGTACACGTGGTATTGAATAGAATTAATTAAGTCGACTATTGACATGAGCGGGGTCACGTGCTCTATATATGGGAAATGACAAAGATTGTCCAATATCACAGCTCGAGAATATCCTTGAAGTTAATGATCATCATCTGACTATTTTCATATGCCAGGGCCAAAGTGCTGCCATGAACTGCAACCGAAGGTGTCCTGAATTCAGACGGGAGAAGCAACAGCCTTTCACGACCATAGGTCACCCAATGGCGCTCCCAGTCTAGGCAAAGAATTCTCGATACGTTCAAGATATCATCTGAATTGAATATCATGTTCACCGAGTCTGGATCAATATCTATCGTTGTTTCAAGCCGTCCTTCAGGCACATTCCATATCAAAGCTCCCCCCCTTGAATCACCCGATGCAAGCCGAGTAGCACGGGGAGAAAAGACCAAATTCACCAAATTCTCGTAGAGGCTTTCGAACACATGTTCAAGCTGAGCAGTATTGACGTCCCAGATCTCTATCTTACCGCAATCGAATGTCGCGGCAATTTTTAGAACCATCCCTGGAAAAAACAATTGTTCGCACCGAAGTGCATGGCACCTGGCAGCTGTGTGTATCAAATTTAATGAGACTTCGTCGAGAAAGGCTGTAAACGAATAATTTACGATAGGACTTTAACGCAATCTCTTTTCCGGTTGGGCAGAACACCACACAAGAATACATCACCGGTTCGTAGTTGCCAGGTATAGTGTGCTCGACTTGTTTCATATCCAAATTCCATATCTGGGCAACGCCATTAAGAGTGATAGATACAACCCTTGTATTATCCGGTGAGAAGACATACCCCTGATCCTCTTGGTCCTCGATGACTAGTTGGGATTCTGCTGCAGTGAGGCCCCAAATATGCAGTGTTTTATCTCTCTTTACAAATGCAACAAGGGTGCTGTCGGGTGTCCCATATTGATATTGAACCGCGAACTATTGTTGCCATCCTAGTACTCTCTGGTGAGAAAACATGTACAGGGTCGGCTTGTACATCATAGGCTGGTTTCTCCAATACCTGCCAGGTCTGGCCTGTTGCAAGATCCCAAAAATGAAAATGAAGGTTTTCTTGATATGTCACTTTTGTATCATCGGGAGATATATTGCAGTAATTCTGTTTAAGTGGGGTTTTCTGGGTCTGTCCGGTGACAAGATCCCATATCCACAACGCTTCTCTACAGTTCAAAAGTGCTGCTACTTTGTTCCCATCATGTGAAAAGTATGGGGGCCCATAGAACCTTGAATCTGTTTCCAGTTTATGTTCCTTCGTGTATAATGTGGCAAAGTGGGAAGCCTCAAAATCTCAATATTGTGACGGCTCAACGGCTCAACGCCAGACAAACAGCGCCAACATATCAAACGATGCCATACAAGCAATATGGGCAAACAAGGGCTGAAGCCGCACCACACAAATGCCTATAAAGACCGTTCATCGCCTAGATAGATTTCCTTTTCTTCTTCTTCCCCAGATTCGATATTCTCGTTGTTAGGCTACCTAGTCTAGATATGAATATTATTCGTTTTATCTGCTAGTTTCCGAGCCCGTGACAAATATATCGCAATTCTCGCTACATATATCAAAATATATACGTCCGAATATATAGATCCAACTTCTGACTTCATACATACACATATTTCTACTTGACTCACTTAAAAAGCATAAAATATACCCTTAACTTTTCTTCTGCCATCGTGTTCTGCCGTTTATACCATCTTGCTGCCGCTTCCACCACCTTCTTATTTCCTGCCGTGAATTGGTTGATATCTAGATGATGGTGACATGCTCCCAGTTGATCTGTACCCTATATTTCCAATTGCTCGACAGAGTTTTCGACTACGATAGGACCATAGTGCCTGATTGCTCAATTGCTTGATGTTCGCATATGTAGACCTATCGTGTTCAAACGTTCAATATGTAGATGACGTTTCTTTGCTTTGCCTGAGAATCAACAAAGACATGTGACTTACTCTGCAGTACGTGGTTTCTGGAGAACGAGAAATTTTTTATCGCATTTGCCAAAGAACGTGGATGACCCCCTCAGCATTGTCCCCTAGAGGAAGCTTGCTTTGTAGAACTCGAGCCTATCGAAGCGGTTTCCGGTAGACTGATAAGCCGTAAAGATGCTGTGGGCAGTGGTGACAAGTATAATTTCCAGATATCGAGAATTGAGGGACTTTACCAGGGTGGAGGCATAAATGAACCTTCCTTACTGTCCTCATACAGGCACACAGCGCTCCCTGTGCCTCTATATATCTACCTCCTTTGGGGCACGGGATACAGAAGGCTGGTGACCAAAGAGAGTGACACCCAGCCTCGTCCCTCATACTAGACGACAAAGCAAGCAATCTTACGACGACAACACATACTACTCCATACTCCGTATTTCCTGAGCTAAGTCTTCTCACTTATTAGCTCGATTCCGGCATTCTCAATCTACATGTCGCTGGAATGCTACTAAGCGACAACGCAATGAGCATAATTCAATGACGTAGTTACTCCGGGTTGCCGTACATAGTTAGTTTGTTTAGTTAACTAGAGATCCCGCGTACGTCACTGTCGAAGACTCTGGAACAGCCGTGGTTTCGACTGAATGGATCCGGCTCGGCCCGAGACTAAACCTTTACCGAGTATAATGCAAATGGTGTAAACAAAACGTCACGTGCGGCTCTCGCTTGCAAAAGCGGGACGCACTACAAAAAATCTCTGCTGCATCTTCTCTCCCCAACAACTTCATGTCACCACGACATTGGTCAATGGCTGGCCACTTTGGCGTCTCAAATGAGAGATTCCAATTCATCAACTGATCGATGCGATGCAATGCACGTTGGTTGACAGCTCAGTTGTTGTCAATTTTTTTGCTCGATATGCTTGGTGCGCTGGTGCCATTGGGATGATGATTATTATCCCTCCTTAATAGGTGAGCAATTTTTATTTTTATTTCTTTCCCTTTTCAATTGGCGCCTAAAAGTGCACGGGGTTAATCCCTCGTTATGATGATTACCATATATCAAATGCATAGTTCAACTGAAATCTTCGGATTGCTGAACGAAAACATATACCATCTTTCACCTTGTCTGATATGCACTTCTGCCACTTTTTTATTCATGTCATATATATTTTGCTGCAGCCTACTATCGTGGATAATACTGACATGCATCGTGAATAGATCTAACTTCCCCCCCCCGGTATGCATTGCTGCCCAACGCTGACTTGCGACATGTCCGTGCGGTCTGACCAGTCACGACTCGTGTTTCTTCCGAAAGATTCCCGTAGTGTCCTGAGGAACCCCTATTCGAGTGGTCATTGCTGTCTCCTATCATCTGTACGAAGCACGCACGGCTGAAACCCCGTTGACGTGCAGAAGTCACAATTGACACCTCTCCTCCCGGTGTGATGTAGGCTGTAGGTTGCGCATATCACCTTGATCCCGACCACTGGGACGCTGTAAGCAAAGCAGCACCGTACGGAGTAGTTGACGTGGTATCGCTCGTAGCCATAGGATCGTATCTGACAGACACTCTTGACGGACGTCCGGATGCAAATATTGCGTCCGATTGTCGCGAGCGAAAGCGGGCCTGAGCGTAATGGCGTCAGCAAGTCAATTTATTGGCTGTTATCTCGATCAGGGAGGTTGAGAGGATTCGATCTAAACCAATCAATCGGAGACCGAATCATCAATAGCAGGGCTGACGGTGGAGATGCGAATTGACTGGTAGAGAGGCTGCCACACCGCTTGACTCGATGCGAGAAGGTGCATCCCATCACAGTCCCGGAGAGAGTCAGAGACACTCAGAAACAGCCACGTCAATCCTGTTCGTTCCCGGTGTTATGCAGAAGCACCAATAGCGGACCATTCTTTGCACTCCACCGCGGCTGTGAGCCCCTCCGGCTTTTGCTTCTTCGGGAGGGGATCTGATTCAGGTGATGCCCTTAAAAACCGCTCATTCCTCCGTCTTTTCCAATGTTTCTCTTTCTCTTCTTCTCTCTCAAACTCATCATCTCATCTTATCTCGATTATATCTCGCCATCGGAGGATTGTCATTGACCCCCTATACCCCTTGATACCCCCCTCCTCCAGGTCCATCTTGTTATCTAGCTGTACTCTTACAGTCAGTGACTATATACAATCTACCATTTGCAAGACTTCCAGTGTCTTTTGATTCGTTTCTTCATTTCTGTCTGCTTTTTGCAAGTTCCAGCCGGAATCTTGGAAAGAAAAAAAAAAAAGAAAGCATCCCGGTTACAGCCTTCCATTGGATACAGTCCGTTTGCCCGGAGAGGATCTGCTTTTGTTGCTTTTTCTTTCTTGTCTCGTTTCCGTCTTCTTTCTGCACTTGCTCTTGCACTTGCATCACTCCAATCCAGAAAACAACAGGTAGTCCCCTTCATTTCATTTCTTTTGTCGTTTCTGCTTTCGTTTTGCTTTGTTCCACCCCCCCTTTACGCATTGCAATCCCGGACGTTTTGCGTCTGTTACGTCGACAGCTTTCCACTGGACCCTATGGACTTTGTTTCTGTTTTACTTTTCGGATTTTGCCCTGTCAATCTTGACAGCTGCCAATTATGATGTTTATGATACATCGTATTGAGTGTTTAATGTTGCACTCTCCACATGGATTCCCAAGGACCGTTTTTGTTTTTCTCTGGCCATGGATATCGAACCGAAGAAACCTGGAACACTAGAAGATTTAATGTTGTCTTCATCCGTCATGATTTGGATTCTTTACTTCCCGTTTGGAATTTATACGACCCCAGTACTCCCATGGATATTGCCTTTGGACCTTTGGACCCTTGACCTTGACCTGGACCTGGACCTAAACTGGATTAACCGCTTTTCGACTCCTTTTTCTGCATTTTCTTTGGACCGTTTTCGCTCCTGGATTATTGTTGTGCTTTCTCTTCGACTATTACGGCGTTTGATTTGCACCTGTTTCTGGATTTATGGACCTTTCGATACACACCCTGGACAACTTCAATGACTGACTGTAGTCTCTTCGTTTGGACTTCAGACCATGGTTACCCGGAACAAGATAGCATAATGTTGCTAGACGACATGTAGCTCTGCGCTTCCTTGTAGTGCACCTCGTGTCACTTTCTTTACCCCCTCGGACGACAAATGGACCTCGGACTAAACCACTTGACGCCTGTGTGTGTAATGAACTGGATAACGGAACTAGCGGTAGTATCGCCTTTGCCAGCCTTCTTGGATCGTATATTTCAATGGACAACTCTCGGTTCGTACTCTTGAGAACATTTGAAGCCGCCCGTCAATTGACTAACAGAATGCAGAACTTCGACGCACGCTTTGGATCGGACCTTGCAATTGCTGCTTTTCTTGCTATTTCTTGTTCGCCATGCAAAGTAACGTGAATTTACTGACTTGCTTTCCGTCAGTAGTGTTTGTTTTCTTCGATTCTTCCAGTTACCTGGACCTTTCACAATGTCTCACATTCAAACCGACTCCAGGAGATTAGCACTCTCCCAAACTGCCCTTCGGAATATGGACCAATTCTCTCAGCCCAGACATGCTCCCATTGGATTCACAAATTTGGCCTCCCTCAAAGTTGAGGAGGATGATCTCTCCAGCCAGGACAACTACTCTCTTTGCTCAAGCACTCATGCCAACGGAAACCCCTGGTCTCTGAGTGATGCAGAGGTTGAGGCTGCTGCCGTCTCTAAGGCGGAATCCCCTGAAGTTCAGATGCTCTCTTTTAACTTTTCGCAACAACTTGTTCCTTCTACTGTCGGTCCAAGCGAAGTTATGTACCAGCCCGGATCTGACTTCCAAGTCATCCAGGACAATGAAATGGACTTCTCCCAATCCCGCGGAGACTTCAACGCATACTCTGCGTTCCTGGACTTTTCTGCATTCGATAATGACTCGAGTGTCCACAATGGATCCCAATCTTGCACCGATGACTCTCTTTCCGTTGGACACAGCTCCCACATGGATGACGGCCAAATGTCGGCCAACGACGCATGGAACTCTATGCTACACCGGACTTCCCTTGACGGGCTTTCTTCTATTTTCCAGACTACCCCTGTTTCTCCTCCTTTGACTGAAGCTAGCAATGACTTTTCTATTACTTCTTCGTGTTCGCAATCTGGTTACCCTTCGTTTATGACCCAGGATGATGCCATGCTGAAGGATGTTACTGCTACTCCGTCGTTGAGCAGCCACGGGATTAACCTTGGTGACCCTTTGTTTCCTCTTACGCCGCCGCTCAATGAGCAGGACCCCCACAGGTTTGTCTTGCCGTTTGTATTCCCCCGTGTTCTCTATCTGACACCCAACAGAACCATCAGGCCTTCCAAGCAGGCTCGCAGACCCACGTTGCAGACTACTCCCCCTCAGCAGATGAAGCAGGAGGAATTCTTCCACCCTCTGCCTGCTCGCCGTGGATCCAAGGACAGCACGGATATGAAGAACCCCCGTGACCACCCTTACTACTCTCTGCCCACCCACAGTGACGGAAAGTACTACTGCCCATTTGGCAACGGCGACAAGCCTTGCAGCCACCCGCCTACCACCCAGAAGTGCGCTTATCAGTATGTCGCTTGCCTCTCCAACATCGAAAACGATGCTAATATGAAAATAGTAAATACCTTGACTCGCACCTCAAGCCCTACCGCTGCAAGGTCCCCGCCTGCATGGACGCCCAGCTCCAGTTCTCCTCCAACGCCTGCCTCTTCCGTCACGAACGTGAAGCCCACGGCCTTCACGGCCACGGCGACAACCCCCACCTCTGCCTCTTCGAAGGATGCGACCGTTCCGTCCCAGGCTACGGCTTCCCCCGCCGCTGGAACCTCTACGACCACATGCGCAGAGTCCACGACTACACTTCCTCCGAGCACCCCAGCTCGCCCGAGACCTCCCCTACCACCTCTACCTCGAGCCACGCATCCAAGAGGAAGGAGAACCTGGGCCGCAAGAAGCGCGTGCTCGGCCCCTCGGGCACAACAACCATGAAGCGCACCCGGTCGACCTCGCAGACCAGTGCCATCAAGGCTGCCCACCAGGCCACCGCGCACCACGGACAACGCCTGCAGAACGCGGAGCGCAACTACTACAACTGCCGTTCGCGGCTGCTCGAGGAGATTAGCAAGATCATGCCGCAGGATTCTGGAATGCATGAGAAGGTGAATGCTAGCCTTCAGGAGCTTATTACCCTGGGATTGAACTACCGCCATATTGAGGCTAGTCAGACTGCGGCGAAGCTGGCTAGTGGTCTTGCTTAAATGATGAGCATGTCACTTTCACTTTTCCCCTTCCGGAGATTACCAGGAGATGTGCCCAGGAGGGAGAAAAAAAAAAAAAAAAAAAAAAAAAAAAAGTTGTACGATGTCGTTGTCCAGTGGAAAAAACCAAGACTCTCGTGAACCAGCCATGGGAAGTCTTTTCTCGAAAGAGATACTGCAAGTCGCGGAACCAGCCCGTGCATTTCCTTTCTTTTCTTTTATGTCCCGTCAGGCCAGCCAGGATTTTGCCGTTCCCATGTTCCATGTTCATATTTCCGTGAACCATTTTTCCGAGGATTTTACCATTCGCTTTCTTCCACGGATCCAATTTCTTTTGTCCAGGATTTCAATCTGCCATCGTCTTGCTCACTTGCTCTTGCTTATTATACAAGAGGTCTGAGTTGATGATGTTCATCTACGGATGAGGTTTAATGAGTGCCTCTATCTTCAGAACGTCCAAGCCAAGATGACTGGAATTCGACCATACAAGTACTACTTGTGTTTATCATTCTTTACTTTTCTTTTGTCCAACACATTACCTTCACATTCTTTTGATCATTTCCTTTGTCCGATCAACTTTTTTTTACCATCATTTATCTTCATTTCTTTCCTTTCGATTTCGATTCTGAGATCGATTCTGGGATTGATATCCTCGACAAAAATGCACCGGAATCATACATACATGCAAGGGACAACAAAAACCAGGTCAACCCAGACCAGACAAAAAGAAAAAGAAAAAAGGAACCAAAACAAAAAGGGGGGAAGCAAAAATGAAAAGGGGACTGGACGGAGGTTTTCTGTTTTATCGTTATTGTTTACTGTTACTGTTCGAGTTTTGTATTTCTGCGTTTGTTTGCGCGCGATGCCTTCAGCTTGTATGTTTTTTATTCTGCTTCGATTCGATCAGCTTTGATTTGATTTGCCTTGTTTCGATTACGTTGTTTGTTTAGCGATTGAGTTTTTATATCGGATTTCAGCTTTGTCTCGTTTTGACGTTCATTGTTTGACATTTGACATTACTTCTCGGTTTATGCTTGGTTAGGGTTGCATAGATGACATGACGCCTTGTACTTGATTTGACTTGACTTACTTGTTTTCGACTTTTGTGATTTCTTGATGATGACTTATGATTTATGAGATGAGAATGAGATATGATTTGATTTACTTTACCGGATTGGAGTACGCCATGGATCTTTCGCATAATTTTTTTTTTTTTTTTTACTATATCGCGTCGGATCCTTCCAGAACGCGATGACATATTCGATGATAAAGCCTACATGTGTAGCACCGTCATTGTATTCGCATTCCTGTTCCTGTTCCTGTAAGGCCTACTGTCTTTTCTGAGATTCTCGAGTTCGCTTAGCGAGCGGTTGCAACCCGATTGCATTTTGTGTTGCATGTAGAAGTATGTAGTTATGTTGTTTGGATAATTTGTAATCAACTCGTCTAGTTAGTTAGATCTATATTCAACCCATGGTATCATAAACATGATAACGCTATGCATGCACTGCAGCAATAGAATCATATAATGACTTTTCCACTTCCCAATCGAGCAAAATACCTAAGAGCCGTCGCCAGCAAACTCCGCATTCAAAAACCTCACAAACGCACCCCCCACCTCCTCCTCCTTCAATCCGCCCCCCTTCCCCCCCGCGTAATTCCCCACATATGCCCGATTCAGCCCTATCCACTGCCTCTTCAGCCTCTGCAGTCTCGGCAGCGCAAGCACGCCCCCCGCCCCCGCGAGTTCATCCGTAGATCCCAGCGCGGCGATGTGCGCGGGTATGAATATCGGTGTTGAGACGTCGGGGATTTCGATCGTTATCCCGTTGGATGCATTGGGTGGGAGGTTCGAGAGGATTGCTGTTGCGGAGGGGTTGGTTAGGGTGTAATTGCGGATGGAGGAGATTATCGACGAGGTGCGTTTTTCGAGGGAGTAGAGTGCGGAGGAGTTGGTGGCTGTTGGTTGGACGGTTGCAGCGTGGGGTTTTATCTTGGGACGTGTGCGGTTTAGCATGCCTGATCCTGGTGCGCCTGTCGCGCCTGTTGCGATGCTAGCTGTGTCGGATGTTGTCTTGATGGATTCTATTGGTGTTGGTGTTATGCTTGAAGTTTGTGGGCCGGTGGTTGATGGATGCGGGATGCCTGTGAGTGCTGTCCAGATATCCGCAATTGGGGGCTCTGCGTCGAAATAAGGCACTGTGAAGAGGGGTTTGTCCCAGCGGCTGTGGGTGCTTGGTTCTTCGTAGCGGAAGATGAGGTTTTCGAGGAGTTCGGGGGGGTATGCTTCGTCTTCGCTTCGGTCTCCAGATGATTCCTGCTCGGGGGACTTTTCGGCCTGTCGTTTTAGTTTGGCTTCGTTGTTCAAGCGGCATTGCTCGATTGGTGTTCCGACGTGGACCTATCCATCACCATTAGCACCTCTTTCACATCCCATACCGGACAGTAAGATACTTACAACACAACAAGTCGTCCCCACAGCCTTCGCCTCACACCAAAGCTGATACCGATACCCCTTGATATAATTCATCCCATCCAGAATTACAAACGTATCCTTCCCCAGCGCCCTTTTCGCTCTCGCATACGCAACCCCGCGCGCCATCTTCTCCGTGCGCGCGTTATCGTAGACGCTTCTCGGGTGCGATGCATCGTGTGTTGGTATGGTTGCGATCTTGTAGCGTGGGCGGGAGGGGTCGATGGCGCCGGAGGCGAAGAGGTCGTCTTGGGTTTTTTGGAGGAGAGTGGCTAGTTGGGTTGCGCGGTGGGTTAGGCCGGAGGAGGGGTAGCCGGAGAGGATTATTAGCTGGGTTGTTAGTATTGCGATAGACAGAAGTGTATATAGAGTAGACTTACCGGCATGATGGCTGTTGTTGTTGTATGATGTTGGTGTTGGGCGGCCTTTTTTTTTTTTTTTTTTTTTTTTTTATTATTATTATTATTATTATTATTTTTTTTTTTATGGATGCTTTTTGAGCGAGTTTTTCAGGGCGTTGCGGGGTGCGGGGCATGTGACTGAAGTCGAGATATCTACACTCCAGATCCCAGAACAGATGAGATGATTCTATAGTCTATTTATGTACTCGTACCCATGTCTATGCTATAAATCACTTTTAGTCGTTTTCTCGTATCATAAGTCATCATTTCAACTGCTCCGGAGCCCACCGAAGCTCATACCCAAACACCGTCTTCCGCAGCGTTTCATCACCAGGATCCTTCTCAAAAAGCACATCATCCATAACCTTCTGAAAGATCTTCGTCACCGTAAACCCATTCTCCTCCGCCAGCGGGAAAAACTTCTCCGTCTTGGGCAACAACCACGGCTGATACGGTGTGAAAATAACCAGCGCAACAGACTCCGGCGATTTCTTCAGCGTCGTGTGCATCGTCTTGATCAGGTTCGGGTGTTCGCGGTGGCTATACACCACGTCCGCCATGATCAAAGTATCGAATGTCGTCTGGTTATCGGGTAGATGCGCGATCAACGGCTCAACGGTAGCCCCCCATTTATACCCCTCAACGTACAGCGACGATTTGCTCGAGTCGATCGACGGCGCAGCGAGTTCCGCATTGTAGCGCATGTTCCCAACAAGATCCAGATCCGGATAGTCCGTCATAACGGTTGTCCTCGCGCCCAGAATCGCGCTCACGATACTAGGCACACCCGCCGCAGCACCAATCTCCAGTACATTCTTCCCATCCACCAAATCGCGGTGTTGTTCGAGATAGTGCGAGCTCGTTCGGCCAGCGTTCCAGAGTAAATCGCCCTAGTTCTCCAGAAGTAAGGTTAGTCGTAGGTACGGAGTAAAAGGAGGGGATGTGAGTTGGCGCGTACGTAGAGTGGGTGGCTTCCGACTAGACGCACGCGCACTTTCTGACCTGAGAGCATGTGGTGCTCTGCGTAGGTGGGTTCTTTTTCCGGGGGGTAGTACCCCTCGGGGTCTTGGAAGATGTCGGCGACGTCGATTTCGTCTGCCATTGCGATTGGCTGGTTTGGGTTTAGGGACTGAGCATAGTTCAGTGGACGAGATGAGCACGATAAGATCTGAATTCATTGTGGGGATTCCAGATAAGGTTAGCGTTGGATATCACATGATTGCGTATCAGAAACACCGAAGATCCCCCGGTATCGCTTCTACGTGATGCATTGCAGCATTCCGGACCGGACCCCTAAAATGACAGCGATATACTACTCTGATGTCCTTCAAATGCCTTTGCTCAATTGATACTATGGTCTCGGGATGGCAGTAATCAAAACCACAGCCTATCCAGCTCTTCTAACCAACACGCACATCTATCTTTGATAGACCCTTCATCATCCCATCTCTTAAGCGACTTGTTCGCTTCCAAGACGAAGCATGGCTACAGCCCTTGAGGAAATCGAGGAGTTTAGCTCTGAACACGTGTTCACGACAATGTCGTCAAGTTAAGCCACCAAGGTGGCGTCAAAGTCCTGCTGTTCGACGACGAGTGCATCCTCAAAAGGGCTATGCGACTTGTCCAAAAGCAGACCGATATCCCTGTTCCGGAAGTCTATCTAGATACATACACCGCCAGTGAGGGCCGACTTGCGATGAGTGTCGTTCCTGGTACTCCACTGAAAGACGTGTAGGATAGTCTGGATGATAAGAAAAAGAGGGACGTCTGTATTGAGACCTGGGCTATTATTGCAAAACTACGAATGATTCAAAAGCCTCCCGAGTTGCAACATCACTTCCTCTATCTTTCTGATGGCTCGCCCTGTATCCAGGACCCACTGGTAGCAGGCTGTAACTGTGCAAGCCCTCCTCATGATCCCTTTCTCAATGATGACGCTGTTCGCGCTCGTATCTACGAGTGCTACTACGAGTCAAACAGTCGAAGATATGAAAAGGAGCTACCGGACATGCTTCCCCGCTCTGAGGTCTCGGTTTTCTCACACGCAGATATCGGGCCATATAATATCATGTTTGATGAGAAGGCGTTGAATATCACTGGTCTTATCGACTGGGAAAGAGCCGGGTGGTATTCGGATTACTGGGGGTATTCTAATATCATGAGACCTATGGTGTACAGGACTGGTAGAAATGGATGGATATGACATCTCCGGGGAAACGGGATTTGTATGGGATTAATGCGGCAAGGTGAGCTTTGCTCTAGTGCATAAGAGAGACCGTGAAAGATCGTTGACAGCTTCCTTTTGTCATTTACATCCTTGAGTGGTGTTCGTCTTCAGAAATCTATGTATCAGACCTACACGATGGGCGACTACACAGTCAAGCGTATTGGCCTGCGCGAATTAGCCATGAATAACGACATCCCCCCAACACACCCACGAACATGAATCCCAACCTGGGAACCATACACAGCCTCAGAGCACCCTCAGTCTGCCCGAATTTGAGGAACCGATTGCCGTGGCAGTGCTAAGGAGTGATCGACATGGGCTTAGGGGAAAAAGTAAAACGGGATGTCCTGAGCGCTGCCAAGGCGAGGCTGAGGAGAGCCTTGTCGAAGCGAGCGCGAATCAAATTCTCTGCAGGTCGCCGGTCTCAATCCGTTACTTTTATACGTCGCCCAGTTCTCAGTGGTTACATAAATGAAGGAAGTGCAGGATGAACTCGAACATGGACTCAACTACTGATGGGAGCACTGGGCTCTCTACAACGACAAAGCCCTCATTCAAAGCCACCAAACATACAGCCTGGGAGTCCACAAAGAACTGGTACTCTCGAACCGTTCTCCGATCTGGTACACAATATAATCTGTGTGGCAGTCAGCCTTCTTCCGGCCCGAAATACTTCCATGGATGGCGACTGGGCTCGTTACTCTCGGGCTGTCTGGTAGGCATCTGCCTGTGTCTTAATATTGCAGCCACCACCTACCTTCACACCAAATACCCCCCAAACGAGGACGGGCTGGGTATAATTCTCGATCATGACTGCGGCAAGGTCCACAGTATTGATAGCCGGTTTCACTATGCGATTAACGTTATCGCGACCGTTCTGGTCAGCGCAAGCAACTACAACATGCAATGTCTAACATCACCAACCCGCAAAGCTGTTGACACAGCCCATCAGCAAAGGAAATGGCTTGACATTGGGATTCACTCAATCCGCAATCTTTCGCATACCGCACGCCCGAAAGTGATATTCTGGCTCGCACTAGCACTGAGCTCGCTGCCTCTCCATCTTTTGTGGAACTCGGCCATTTTCATGACAACTACCTTTAATGACTACAGCGGCTTAGTCGTTACGCCGGAGTTCTTGGAGGACCATATTCCAATTGGAATTAACTGTGGACAAGATGCGATGGAAGAATACAAACTGTCAGACCATCAGAGCTATGTTACTTGTTGGCTGCGCGACATGGCTCTGCAATCTCCGAGGAATATGAGCCGAGTTGAGCCCAAGAATTGCATGTCCAAGTATGGGAATGGTCTTGACGGGGCGACTTTCAATCTTCTTGTCGTTACCAAAAATAACAGCATTGCCAAGCAATCTGACTCGTTTCCACCACCAGAGAATACTACCCTACCCGTTCTTTCTTATTTCCATCCCCTTGACTATCCCCAAAAGATGCAAGACTGGTGTTATAATCAATGTGGGAGATGGGGTGATGGCAATAACGCCGAAAAGTACTGCCTAGATGCCAATTGGGACAACTCGTCCACGCCATTTGCTTGTATAGAGCATATGGTCAACAAGACAAGCTGGCAACCTGATCCAATTCCGCAGGTAGCTTATTGGATGTGTGCCCCGGACGCAATCTTCTACGATCAGTGCAGTATCTCAGAAGCCCAGAAAAATTCCAGTAACTGGACCATCTTACCGGAATATTACGAAGTCGACTACTGCTTGACAACTGATGCAGACCACGAATGTCAACTCAAGTACAGCCCATTGATACTGTACGTTGCACTCGCTTGTAATGTTTTGAAGATTGTATCAATTCTAGGTTGCCTCTTCATGTCTCGAGAGCCCATATTAGCAACAATTGGTGATGCCGTGGATTCTTTTCTTCGGCGCCCAGATCAGGCCTCAAGGGGGAGGTGCCTGATGTCAAAGTTGGATGATTCAATTTTTCCTGAGATTGACGAGCCTGTCGAGCCATTGAATTCAAACCATCCACAGCCTTGGATTGGAGAAGAACGCTGGCTTAGCAGACATGGGACCGTTCGACGTTGGGCATGTTGCATATTTCTGTAAGCAACATGAAGCTCATCGATTTGCTACCTCTGCTCTCTAGAGCTAACTGATAAATAGATGGTTGGCATGTGTCATTGTTGCAATGATCTTCCTTGTGAGAGGAATTAACCTAGTGGGCATGAAAAATGCATTCACCTTGGGATTTGGGGCTCTCAGTCTCAACGCCATCGTCGCCACATCTCATTATGAAGGAGGCAGCTCCACCTCAGTACTCACCACTTCTCTCATTTCCAACCTCCCGCAACTTCTTCTTTCGGGACTATACTTCATGTACAACGCGGTCCTAACAAGCATGACCGCCACCCACGAATGGAGCATGTTCGCCCACAAACGAACAACACTCCGAGTCACCGTCCCATCTGGAGCCCAACGTGAAACCTACTGGCTCGAGCTTCCGTGGCGATATTCCCTACCCTTTCTGATATTCTCCACTGTGTTACACTGGCTCATTTCCCAGTCCATTTTCTTGATCAATATACAAATCTACCAGCCAAATAACGAGCTACTGATGAAACCCACAGATATTTTTCCTACCGTGAGCAATACAGGCATGACGACTGCCTGTGGGTATAGTCCTCTTGCTATCACCTGTGCGCTTGCAGTTGCATTGGTTTTGCTCGTCGCTCTGGCCGTCATGAGCTCCTGGAGAGCGAAGCCAGGGATACCCGTTGCGGGCAGTTGCAGTCTCGCGATAAGTGCTGCCTGTCACCCTCCTGAAACAGATTCTTTGGCTGCTGTTAAGCCATTGCTTTGGGGTGCCGTGGCACATGAGGAGAACGGAAAACCGGGCCATTGTTGTCTTACTTCTTTCGAGGTGGAGAAACCAAAGAAGGGGGAATTGTATGCTGGCTACTGATATCGGTATTGTGTTATCTTTTGATGGTAGAAAGGGCCCATTCTTACGTACATTAAAAGATGTTGGCTAACTATGGCCAATGCATATATTCTTTATGTACTTTGCATTCTTTCTGTCTCGTTCAGTTTCTTTTGCACAATTGCAGGGACAGACCAACTTTATCTCATGCTCAACAAATCGACGCCCCCGCCAAAAGAGCTTTTATCCACAATAGCATAGTAACAGCCAAGCAGCATACATTACCAACCGTTCTGAATGGGCAACCAGTACATACAATCATAGGGTGTGGAAGACAGGACATCCCATCCAGTCTGCTCAGCCGTACTCGAGCCACATAAGCTCGGTAAATAATTATCTTTGCCTTTTTTTTTTTTTTTTTTTTTTTTTTTTTTTTTTTTTTTTGGTAGTTGCCGTTTCAAGGGTGGTGTTGGCCGGGCGAGATCAAATTGGGTGTAGGTTAGTCTAAATATAAATTCTGTCCGTACAACCATTCAGCAATCAGATCCCTTGATCTCTCTAAAGGTACTCTTATCAGCCAGCACAAACGATATGCTTGAGACAGATTTCATTTGTACGCTCTGGTGCGCGAGGCTGAGGTCTGCATTGCTATTTGCTCAGCCTCGTCGATCACTTCTCCCCCGCTCTCCTCACATTTTCCTAACTTCATTGACCTGTTGCTTCATGTTCAATTTATAACTGGCAAATGAACAACAGCTTTCATCGCCGAATCAATGCGCACTCCAACATGTCGACCATGACATCACAAACCAGTTCCAACCAAACAAGAAAGCATTCGCCATCTCCGGGCCTCTGGCAGATAGCATGGGACAGTCTCGATGACGAGGTGAAAGCGGGTGTCAGCCTCAAAGCGAACAGTCGCAGCATTGCGGATGCCATCCTACATATGGCAAATGAGAAGAAAGATCTTTGTTTGCGGAAGCGATGGAAGTTTCGAAAGTCCAGTGGAGAAGAAATCATTGTCAGGGATGTGCTTGAGAAGGTTATAAGCTGGGCGAATAAGTTTAAAGCGGTGGGGGATGTTGCGACTCAGTACGATCCTATCCATAGCTCCTTACCTTGGGCGGCAGTCCGGTTTATCCTACAGGTGAGTGTTGCTGGTCCTTGTCCATAAAATGTATTAAGGCATGTTGGTTGACCCCGACAAGATGGCAATTGGCGAGAAGGAAGTTTTTGGAGAAACAGTCCAAGGGGTGGGAATAATCTCACAACTAATTACGCGGTATACGTTTTGGAAATTCTATATATTGGTCCTAGCACCTCAGCTCGTGATGAACTTGAGGTGGCCCTCGTACAACTTTACAGTGAGGTGCTAATTTACCTCGTCGAGGCGAAACGTTACTTCCAAACCAGCACGGCAAGTGTGTATACGTGAGATCCCTCTTAATAGTCAGTGGCACCTAACACCAATGGGCGGTAGAGCGGATACTGAAAAGTGCATTTCATGCCTCCGAGAACGGTCAGATGAAGCAAATCGAACTCCAAGAAAAACGGGTAGCAGACCTAAAAGCTCTAGCTGATGCAGAGGACATCAAGGCTACCGGGGAGAACGTCTCGGCCATTCAGCTGCTCATGGAGTCTTTGGAAGAACCCATTCTTCGAGTGGCAGACCAGACAACCGTAATCATGAAGAGTCTGGAAAAGAGCCAACACTCCAGGTTGATGCAGTGGTTATCGTCGACGCCCTTCATGGGGCATCATCTGATTTACAGCAGGAAAAGAATTCCTGGCTCCGGAAAATGGTTCTTGAACCACCCACAATACCAGAAGTGGAAGCTCATGAGCTCCTCTTGCATCCTCGTGCTTTATGGTATCCCAGGATCGGGAAGACATCCCCCGCATCTAATTTTGTGGACTCATTCATGCAGGAAAGCTCGGGACAAAACAGCTCAGTCGCAGCGCCCTTGGCGTATTTCTATTGCGCGAGGAGTACGTAAGTTTGAGCCTAGACCCGATGAATTTATGCGCAGCATTGTACGACAGCTGGCCTTCGGTCGGGGTAGTGAAAGAAAAGTCCATGAGATTGTGGTTACGGACTACGAGCGACGTAAGTCAGAGGCAGAGTTGAATGGCAGTGACATTCCGGGACTAAGTGTGACTGAATGCGTGGCATTAATCCTGGATCTCACCCATTTTAACCCTGCTACAATTGTGATAGACGCACTGGACGAGATCCAGGAGTCTCAGCAACATGAGTTGATACAAGCCCTCGATGAGATAGTCAAAAGATCCGCAAGCGTTGTTAAAGCTTTGATGACCTGCCGGGATCAGTTTGTCAGGCTTACACCTGATGGCCCAATTTTGTGCGCCGTCATGTCAGCGAGGCGATTCAAAGCCGGAGGCTCCTTGGAGGCGATGTCACGGAGGCTCTACGGGAAGACCTTATTCACACATTGGTGCGTGGAGCCAAGGAGATGTAAGTTGAACTAGCCATGTCGAGGGACTTTGAGACTGATGGTTCTTAACAGGTTCCTATGGGTGGTGCTACAGATAAACAGTCTCTGTCAGATGAGATTAGAAGTTGATGTGTGGGCGGCAATGACCAAATCACCCAGCAAGAACTTGGAGGATCTTTATGCAGCCGCATTTGAGAAGATCACTGAAAGCGGCCCTGGTGCCTATACTACAGCCATGCAGGTGTTTTCATGGCTTCTATGTCTCCAGGAACCTTTATCACCGACCGCATTTATGACAGTTCTCACCATGGCAGATCCGGACAATTCCAAGGAGCCCCCTCCGACTCTCTCGGGAGTATTGGATGTTTGTTTCAACTTGGTCACTCTTGATTCTGAACTGAATGTTCTTGGATTCGCACATTTCTCAGTCCAGGAGTTTCTGGAGGCAGGTGTCACCTTTTCCCCCACCGGCAACCACCGTTTGGTTGCAATGGGCTGTCTTAACATCTGTGCACAATGCGCTCCCTCAGATATTGGTGCCTCTCTCAACGTCCAAGAAACCCCGTATCAATATGCTGTGCTTTATTTTGCAGAACATACCAGACTCGCAAATCTAGTGGATAGCAGTGATGGGCTCTTCCAGGCCTTGAAGGAATTCGTTTTCTGCGACGGCGAGCCCAGTCTTGCATTCATCAACTGGGTTGATGAAGTCAGGGAGCTTTCGAAGTCTTTGCGTCGTGATCATTCCCTGAAGTCCGCAATGAACGCTTTTCCAAGTCCGCATTACAGTCCTTTATATACTGCTTGCAGGTTCTGCATCCCCAGCCTCATTGAAGAGCTAAATAAAGCGCCCGGTGTCGACTGGAACCAGAAAAAATGATAGTGACCAAACCGGGATTTACCTAGCCGCAGCAGTTGGGCACGAGAATCTGATAGATATGTTAGTACAACTTGGTGCTGATGTGAACGAAGCTGGGGGCAAGTTTGGGAATCCTCTACAGGCGGCATGCTTTGGGGGCCATGATGAAGCCGTACAAAAGTTGCTGAACTACGGTGCCGACCCATACGCAGGTGGCTTGTTCAAATGCGCATTCACCGTAGTTTGCATGGGAAATAATTAAGAAGTTGCTTTGTCACTTCTTGATCTCGCCTTGGTCATTGCCACGCAGGACGAGTATGATCGGATTCTTAGACGGGCTTCTGAGGCGGGCTTCTGAGGCGGGCTTCGTTGAGGTGATACGCCAGCTGCAGCAGAAACACGGGCAAGCGCATCACTGGTCCCTTTTCGTTGCTGAAGAAGGAAAGAACGGGACGAGTTCTCAGGTCACCGGTGACCATACGCATATGGTTCATGGCCATAAAGAAGGCGTTAATGTGCTTGGTTTTGGTCATTTCGCGGATATCCATCAACTTGCGGAACTCGACGCACAGAAAGCCGAACGTGTAGCGTATTGGGCAAATGAGGAACCAGCGCCCTGTGCTGAGACTCAAGCACAGGTCAGGGATACTTGCCAGTCGTGGACTCTGTTAGTGGTTCACCGGTTGACTGCGGAGGGGATTGTCTTCCAACGCTTGTTCCCACTTCCGTTCAATCTGATTGATTCACCTGTCTTGCTTAGCTTGCGTGGGGAATCAGTCTGCGCGAACCATCGCCTACATTCGTGATTGATTGGGGCGCTTAGCTGTGGGATTGCATATATTGACCTGACATTGCATGGTTTTAGCGAGCATGAGTGGTGTTTGGCGCTTTTGCCCGGATTTGGTTTACTTCCATATCGTGCTCATGCCGTCCTGACACCATTGTAGCCGTCATGATACAAGTATGCCTACAGACCCCCTGTCTAAGACTCGATATTAACCCAAATGAATGGCGTTTTAGTTAACATACAGAGTACTCCGAACAAAAACAACCCCATAAATTCAATTTAAAATTCAATCAAATCCATCTATTCGTTACGGAACTAATCCATCTAGATGATCACACAATCTCTCCTGATTCACTCCCAGCACTACTCCATACTAATGATGGAGACTCCGTGATCCTCCGTCTCCGATCTCCGCTCCCCCGTCCGTATTCCATCCAAACACGGCTACCATACCAAATCAGGTGAACTCCTCGAACAACGGCAAGATTCCCCGAAGAATCCCCGAAATCCCACCCGCGTATTATAATACACACCCCGTACCTGCGTTGCACGTAGAAACCTCACGTAAAAACGCGGAGGTACAATACACATACAACCTCGGATAAAAATCGGGGACATGGTGCTTTTTTTTCTTCGATTTTTTTATTTCGTTTAATGTGTTGTAAATCCGGCGATCATGGGATTTCGATAGTCTGATCAGTTGGTATCCCTGGATAAGCACTGGACTGGACTGGACTTTTGTATCCTATTCTGTACGAACACCAGGGGCATATTCAGGACAGTACTTTTATACAGTACACCACACGGAGTATTCTGTACAGTGAACCAAACTCGCATCCAGCGTCATCGCCCGTCAACTCAACTCTGCCGAACCAAATTCCGTGACCCCGCTGTCAACTCACTGCCTTCCTTCAACCCGTACTGTACAGAAACTACACTACACTACACTACTACACACACATACACACGGCATGGAGCAAATACCCTTCAACCAGATCAGCCACCCACGCTCATCATCATTTACGAACGCAGCCTTCCAGCCCGACTCGACGTTCCGAGCACAAGTACAGGGGCTGGTGCCAGCACAATCCCAGAATACGAGCCTCAATTCCACTGCCACTGTCACTGTCACTGCCAACATGCCCACGAACCCGAGTGTCGGTGCCAACCCGTCGCAGTCCCAGATCCAGCCTCAATTACAGTCCCAGTCTCAAACTCATACCCAAATACAACCCGAAGACGAGTCGGAAACACAAAAAGGCGGACCAACGGCTACAGCGCCGTTCTTACAGGACTTTAGCCTCGTAGCGGAAGCGGCGAAGCGGGCGCAGATGGCTGTTGTTATGCGGGATTTGGAGGGGATTTCACTATAGCCGATAGACGGTTCTGAATACGGGATATGGATATGGAGTTGGTTTACTCATTATTGTTGGACAAGGCGTTGATTGAGTTTTTTGGGTACGATTACGATTACGAGATATGGACATTTCACACCTACATTTACACCTACACCTACATTTACCATTACATTTCAATTGCAAGTATATCGAATGCAGAATTTAATAGTCGCTGGATACTGTCGTTATCCCTTGCAGTGTCTTTCGTACATGTACACCTACACCTCTAGTTAACATGTCCTTCTATATTTACTCCTGAAGGATTCATGGATCATGCACGGAGTACTTGATCGAATCGACTAATGCACTCGAACGAATGATGCATATTCCTGCATGGGGGTACACAGTACAAATCCATTGTCGAACAACATAAAAAAGTGACTGTAAATGTTAAAAGGAATGACCGTCTATCCAACACCTAGCTAACCATATATCCTGTACAAAAAAGTAAATGGTTGATGCAAATTATATAACAGGGGTTGAAGGGAATGTGAAATGAAAATGAAATGAAGTGAAAATAAGAAGCACGCCGGACTCCATGTATGTATGCCGCTTTTCTTTACAATGAGTGAATGTGTAGTTTCGATAGTTGTAGCGATGTTGATGTCGAATCGATGTCGAATCGATGTCAATGATGATGTGATGCGTCCCGTATTACCGCTTTTCTCATCCTCCTCTCTCCCCCAAACTCAAGATGAACCTGCAGACCGCTCACAGATGCGTCGACGACCCAATCAAATTCGGCTGCGAAATACTCTCTCCCACCCTCTTCCTCCGCTGCGAAAACCCACCCCCAAACATCGACAACCTTCTACTCATCCGTCTCCCAGCACTCGCACCCTGATCTACAGACCCCGAAGTCGAAAAAATAGACAACGGCCTCGCTGACTCCGGCCTAGAAGCAGCAACAGGAGCAGGAGAACTCGACGGCGGCGCCTCGAAAAACACAGACCCGCGTCTCCGACTGCGGATCTTCTCCGCCGTCGCCTTGGGATCCAACCCCAACGTAAAGTCCTCCTTGATATCGTCTAATGCGTGCGACACCCTGCGTAGCAGGTGCGGCTTTTCCTCTGCGATCGAGGGCTCGCGCTGTTCGAGGCCGTAGGCTTGCAGGGGGGTTTTGAGGGTTGTGTTTGTGTCGGGCGGGTTGGGTGTTTCGGATAACGGGGAGGAGTAGAAGCGGCGGGATTTGATCATTGTTGGGCCGCCGGAGGGCGAGGGACCGGCTGTGGATTGGGTTGAGGTTGTGTGTTGGCGGGTATGAGAGTTGTAATGGGTTACTGTGATTGGGACGGGAACGGGGCCTGGGGGGACAGGCCAGGCGAGATGGCGGGGGCTGTCGGGGGAGGAGGGGGATTGGGATTCTGGGGAGGAGGACATTGTTGTTGTGATTGAGCGTAGCTGTGCTCTGTAGACTATCGAAGATTATAAGATAAATAAAGTGAAGTATGGTTGTATAGTTTGGAGGAGAGTAGAAACAAATCCCGGGGAGGGAAGGGGGGGGATGAAAGAAGAAAATAAAAAACGAAGATTCGGACAAAGAAAAGCAGCAGTGGACCTGATTATTGAGCTAAGTATTCAATGCCATCTCTAGTTAGTTATACTAGTCAATAATATTATTCTCTCCTGAGACAAGGAGATCATCCCGCATGACAACTGCGGCTGTGCGGTTAAAAATATCTATTATGTATGCGTTATGTTGTATTATGCAATAGAGAATGCACTCGGAATGCAAAGGTTTGTTTAGTTTATCCACGATAATATCGCACATGCGGTGTTGACTGGTCCGTATCTTCTCGTGTGGAAAAAAAAAAAAAAAAAAAACAAAGCGAAATAAACACAAAGTGAAACCTCTCCCCATCGTTCGTTCTGCCGGTTCAATCAGATCGGAGTGTCCGTCTACCATCCAAGCCATAGCCCACTAACGGAGTAGTGGCTTGGATAGCCAATCGGAGCCACTCACTGACCGACCTTTACCGAGGATCATTCGATATAAACGGGATGATATCAAATCAGAGTTTTATGGTGCATACCATATGGAGCACAAAAGTTTAACACCATCAGATGGTTCATATTGGCATTTTAATTATGTACTTGCACGAACTAGTCTATCTGCTACATAGTGAACCGCAAATTGGTATCTGTTTATTCGGTCAGAATCCCACTCGCTAGCGTGACAGGGGACCATGTCTGGGACGGAACTCACCTAAGGGATGACTGGAGCTCAGCTGCGGCTTCTGCGTATACCGATCCTCCAGTTCCGACCGGATCGTATTCAATAATTGTAGGTAACTCTGGTACGGCCACCGTTCTAGTGACTTGATAAACGCCCAACTCAATGCTCCTCGCGCCTCACCGTCCTGGAACGTATCCGCCGAAGTCTGCGTGTCTTTTGACCCTGAAAACATGACCACATCCGCGGGAGACGTCTTGGTCATGACCGTCCGCTCCCTTGCCGAACTCCCAATCGCCGCTTTCTTGAAGAACCCGATCGCCGTCTCCGCCATGCTTGACAGATCGCCATTGCCGTATGAGGTGATTGCGGAGAATAGATCTTGCGCGGCTTCTTTGGCGAGATTGGGTTCCTTCAACATCCCTTGCGTCGAGTACACGTAGGGTAGGTCTAAGGCTGTGCCGGAATGGCACGAGTCGAAGATGGCGGTTAGTCGGACGCCTGGGCGGAGGGGTCGGACCATGATGGCGTGCATGTCGTCGTCGACGATGTGGCCGGCTGTGCGGTAGTCTAAGGGGTAAATTACGTCGTCGTAGCCTGTCGCGTTATTGTTAATTTTATTTCTTATTTCTCATTTCCCCTCCCCCTCCTACCCTGTTTCTTGGGACTCACCATCATCCTCGTCACCGTCCAAATCGGGTGTTCGTCCACCGTGGCCTACAAATTAGCACTAGCCAATATCCAGGGGTATACAGTACGTACCCGAAAAATGAATAAACAACGAATCATTCGGCTGCGCATCCCTCACCAACCACTGCATCGCACGCATCATATTCGCCTTGGTCGGCATACTCATGGGATTCTCCTGATCATCCGTAAGAATGACCATATCCTCGCGTCGATAGCCATGCTTCTCATGCAGGAACGTCGACATATTGGCGACATCGTTGATGCAGCCTTTCAGCTGGTTGGGCTGACCGATGTAGTTGATTCCGATGAGCAGGGCGCGGCGTCGACCGGTGCAAGTGGAGTATTGGAAGTGGTAGTTGGAGGGGGCGCCGTGGCCGAAGTGTTGGGGGACTTGAGGGGGTGGAGGGGGGAGGTTGTCGTTCCATGATTGTTGGCCTTGACATTGTTAGTATTTTCTCATTCGCGTCTGGAATAGGTAGGTCGGCTTACGGTGGTGAGAATATGGTGATGGTGTATGCGGTGGCGGAGTTGGGGTGTGGTACGGGGGATAACCGTAGCTTTGCGGTGGAGGCGGTGGTTGTTGGTAATAGCCTTGCGGAGGATATTGATGACTGTCTGGTCAGCGCAGTCCGTACGGAGTAGCAATGTTAGCAACATACCCATACTCTGGCCACCAAGAATTTGAACGTTGATGATACATTATTGTGTTCTAGTAGTATATTCAACAGTAACAGAGACGAGAGAAGAGAAGAGGAGAGAACAAAACAACAGAAAATATTCAAGATAAAGCCAACAAGGCTGGCTGAAAGCGGAGCATTTCTACACCCTCGACCTATCAGCATGACGCGATCAACTCTACTGTGCTGTATACATTCACTGCCGGGCGTTACAAGGCGTTTTTTGAGTGTTCAACTGCCTATCAGAGTAATATTCTGGAATGTTCGTCCTCTAGGCACCAGGATTCGTACCAATCAAACCGTTGGGCACTGGGCGTTGACTCCACATTTGGTGGTAGGGCTGCAGCCTTATGATGATGGATTGATGAATCAGCCAGGACAGTCAGGTGATTGTTTATGAATAGTGAATAGAGGCTGGAATGTAGTGGCGATGACGGGTGACCGAGTCATTCCGCGGAGATGGATATGCATGGTTGATACACGGTTGATACATGGTTGATAAGATAAGGATATTCAGGAAGAATGAAAGAAGAATAGAAAAGGTTAAAAGACTCAGGTATGCATGTCAGCACTGATATATGTTGACGACGTAATGTAGAGGGTGAAGTCTCCGTCGAATATCAACATGCCTGCAGTGCCGGCAGGCATACAAGTACAAGCAATAGTCACCTGGTGAACGCACCTGACCTTCGCATGATGATAGTTCATCTCAGGATCAAGTCATATACTCACTGACAACTCGTACAAGTGCTACCCAATGCCTATAAATGGGGCGAATCCTTCTGCTAATGAACGATCCCGACAACTGGCCACCATGTTGTTGCTGACTGACTACATCGAAGATTAATAACCTCCGTCGTACAGCTAGTTAGTGTAACCGTCATAATTTCCATTTTCATTTCCATTTCCATTTCCATCTCCATCGACGTGACATCGCCATCTTTTACAGAGAATCAACCCGATGCTTCCGGATGTCTAGAGTCATGCGGGGCCAAGATCAATTGCGAATTCTCAAGGCAAGACTCTGTCTGGGGTGTAGGATTCGTTTCATCCTTGTTTTGAGGCAGTGCAGCGGCCCGGTTGATACGCCGACGAATCGTGCCCACGCCGACCGATGTCAGCCTTGTTCTTTATGCCCGGAATACTCTATCCAGCACCGTGTACCATGTACAGAGTAGTTGCCCGTGTCAATCCGGATGGATAGTTCAGGAATGCCGCCAGATCAAGACGCAAGACGCAGTAAGATAGATGGATTGCCATGCACGGCACTGACCACCACAGCTGTCGGGTCAGTCATCAGGATGCTTATCGGTCGGTGTAGAATCATGGCGGATTGCGATAGATCTTGAATACGGAGTCAAAGAGTGACCGATTTGACAGAATGAGCGTTCTCAGACGAGACGATAGAAGTTTTATCGAACACCGGGGCGCCTTGAGACGCGGTATCGTCGAAGGATCGGACCAGATCCAGATGGCGAGTCAGCACGTAAGAAGCGGTCATCCTGGCTAGCTCGTATTAGCCGCAGCACAGTCGATCCAAATGACTTCCTTGTCTTCCTTTATGCCTTGATCCGAAATGTATGCTGTGTCCCGTGTAAGGAGGTTGAATGTGGACCTGAAGACCACTGCACTGGCCACCGATACTGGGGCAGCCGGACCCAAAGAGCCGCAATTCGGTGAAACTGAAATTATTTGCCTCAATTGACCCAGGAAAAGGATTCTCTTGGCCAGCGGCAAAAAGCGACTGAGCCGCGTGGGAAGAGATTACCAGTGGGCTGTGAAATGCAACATGCGAATGCCGTGGCTGCTGCTGTAGAACCTGACCCAACGCCAATCATGGGGGGGTTCATAACCTTCTTTGAGCCTCAATCGGCTGCTCTCTTTTGCTTTCCTATTCCTTTAACCCTGATATAATACCAGGCACTATGACCATCGCCATGGCTGTGCTTCTTAAGCCATCTGCTTTCCGGTCTCGTGCTTATTTACCCATTGCTCCCTTCGCCCATTACCCATCCCTCGTATAGCGTGGAATACACTAGGATGACCGATCTCACAAGGAGTCTGGACTCCATTCCTTATGATGTTTTTTATCAAATCGCTTCCAATCTGGATTGCTATGATTTTATCAGTCTCAGTCGCGCCAACCGGTCTCTGAATCGTGTTATGAGCAGTGGGCCTATCGCCCGAAAGACCATCGAGGTGAGTCCACAGAGTCGCTTACTGTACTACCTTAATTTTCTTCTCTAACGTGACAACAGAACAATCTCCTCCATACCAAAGAAGGCCAAGATGCAAGCCGGTCAAAATCCGGCTATCGCAAAGCCGTTGGTCGCCTGTTCGATATCAAAGAGTCCTTCGCCACTGCTCAGCCATACTCAGCCTCCGTCATCGCCTACGGCACCACTTTCCTCTACGACTCTGGTTCGTTGTGCTACGTCCACGATGACGATATCCGCGTCCTAAACGTACATGGCGCAGCCCAAAAAGAGCAGGTGATGAACATTTCCAACGTCGTCGCCCGCCTGCTGCCCCATTATGCACCAGGCACCAGCCCCATCCGGCTGTCTTTGCTGCACTACAGCGACGGTATTCTGGCGTTTCTGGTCGAGCTGGCTGAGGGTCCGGAGGCGTGGCTTTTTGCCATCGATCTGCGACGGCGACCGGCGAATGCGCGCAATGGTCGCTTGCGGCTGCGGACTCAGCTGTCGTCCACGCGGCGATTGTTTGTTCGTCATAATGGCTCTTATCTCTACTACGGTACTCACTCGTCCTTAGGATACGATGGATATCCGTTATGGGCGATTCACTGCGTCGATCTGAGGACGGGTCGTCATATGTCGGAGAAGCCTGTGGAGTTGGCGCATTTTGCAGGGAATGAAATCGGGCAGACGGTGTGTTTTGGTTTGCACCAGGACCATTTGTATGCCGTTTCGACACAGGTTGATTGCGAAGAGGAAGAGGTTGACTGGACGTCGTTTTATATTTGGGTCTGTCTTGCTCCGGAGCCAAATACGCGACGACGGGTTACTCCGAATCGTACCTGGCGTCGTCAGCATCGCGAGGGTCCTATTAACGATACATGGACGGACCTCTCGCTGCGACATGACGAGGCTACCAAACGCCTCATGATCCTCGAGTGTCGTCGCGAGTGGCGCAACGGAGGCAGCGAAAACTGTCGCACCTATTACATGCAAGCCCTCCCATCGCCAAACGAAGTCAACACCGGAAAGCAACGCACTGTCCCGACAGACGCACGAGTCCCCTATCACGAACCTCTTATAAAAGTCCATGACCCATCAAGCAAACCAAACCCCGAACCACCCAAGAAACGCCTCCGTCGACACTACCACCCAGAATACCAACTACGAGGCACCGGCACCGGCACCGGCACCGATGACTCCTCCACCCAACGACGAGACTTCATCCTCGCCAAAACCAAATACCACGCCTACAACCTCTCCGCCTCATCCTTCGTCGACCTCGTCAACGATCCCTCCCCAGACCCCACCAACGGCAGCCCAAGCCTAATCCCCCATGATCGCCTTCGTTTACGAACAGTCTCCCGAAAACGCAAATGCCCCATTGACGAAACAGGCGAAGAAGGACCCCGCGGCCTGCTCTACCGCCCGGACCTCAACGACACAAACGGCCAACCAATAGACCACAGCGAAGAACGCTTCCTCTCGCGCGGCGTCCACATGTGGCCTCCAGACAACGCGCCCATAGAACTAAACAACCTCCTCTGTCCAAGTGAACGAGCAGGCCGCGTCCAAGCTATGGCTGACGAACGATCAATCGTGTACTCAGTTAACCACGACGGTCTGGCAGATGGCAAACAAGCGCTGATCCTCATCAACTTCGATCCATCGATCAAATTCTCCGGCCTCACAAAATTGCACCAGTACAACCACCACTTGGACGAGAATTTTTCCTCGGCTCAAGATCCAGCTGGTGTGGCAGTTGGTGTTGAGCAGCCGCAGTTCGGGGGTCCGTCGAGGGAACGGCACAGTATGTCGGTTGTTCGGACTATGGGGACGAATGTGGGGTTGCCGTCTGTAAGGGAGGAAGTTGCGATGTATTTGAGGATTAATCGGGGGTATTGGTTGAGATAAGTTAGGCTGATAGTCATAATAATCTTCATTATTCATCCCGGTGGTTTAAATCTACAATGCGTTCTGCAAACTAACAATGGATGTCTACTAGACGGATTAATTCCATCTCATGCTTGGATATATACAAACCATGCACCCGCAAGAAGTTTCCAATTTGAATAGCACAGCAACAATGAACCAGCGCACCTGATTAGCCTCTTTGGGTAAAATACCAGTACATACGACCATAGGCCGTGGAAAACAGGGCTCAGCCGTACTTAGGCCACATGCTAAGTTTGATCAATAGTTATTCCTTCCATTTACCTCTTTGCTGCCTGAAGGGTGATGGCGGAGTGAGCTCTAGTTGGGTAGAGCCAAGGGTGAGTAGGTGAGCAGAGCACCTGAAAGACTGAAATTCTTAAGTATCCAAGGATACTCCTGTTCAACCCCCACGGCCAACAAGCTCCCGTTCACTACCCATCGAATCCGGCGAGCCCGGCCGCGAAACCAACGGCGTTGCTTCTTTATACTGTTCATCGGCTTTCTGGACGCGACGCTTCTCCAACCACATCACGACCCCAGCAACCCCAGCCACCAAACAAGCCAAGCACACAAACAAACCGGTCGTCCAACTAGGCCGATTAAACCGATTCGTCGCCCACATACACGTCGCCAGACAGATCTGGAAAACCGTGTTTAGAAAGTTGCCCCATACAACAGCGTCCATTTTCCACGGTGGCGTGCACGGGACTTTCAACGTGGTGCTGGTGGGCAGCACACTCTGACCCGTAGAATCAAGTAAGAACCATTTCCCATGGATCTGCGCCAGACGGTTAAGCCCTTTCGTCTGGCGTTGCTCTGACCAACTCAGCCGCCAAAGGATCCAAAAGTAAAGATCTCGAAGGCGCCACGGCGCCAGCCCAAAGCCGGTTACGCAGAAAAGAGCATTCAAGATCTGTGAGTCGATTTCGATCCAGATGCGGCGTGATGAGTTCAGACTGTTGCAGTCTGGATGGCACATTGCTGGGGCTGCGTTGCACATTAGGAGGAAGAGCATGCCTCCCCAGGCGATTACATTTAGACCATAGGTTGTAATGCAGAAGCCAAGGGGGGTGAAGATCCAGTGTAGGAAATCGCGGGACTTGCGAGACCATGATTTGTCGGTTTCGCTGTTTTTCTAGGGGGGGTATTAGTATGAATAATAGAGTAGGGTTCGGGACACTAACCTGGTAATCTTTATCGAGTAAGGATTTTGTGGAGGTTGTTGAATAGAGAGTGGTTGGATCTGGATTCTCATGAGTAGTTGCCATTTCCAGAGTATTGAGATGATGCTCTTAGAAATGGTTAATAAAGATTTCTTTAGCATGCTGGGGTATATATTCATTTAACTCAGGTACTAGAAAAGATCTAGATAAATGTACGAATACGGAACCCCGGTTGCCTATCGTGTATGTTTTTCGTATTCGTGTCCGTGCCCGTATCTTTCCTAGGCTTTTAATATTTCTGGAATATTGCCGGATATGGGATTTAATTCTATTTTAGCTCCCATACAACTCAACAGTCTAAATAGCCCACTTACGCCAAGTGGCTAGCCCATTTAACTGGACAGACCGCTTCAATAATGTGAAGTGTACAGAGTAAAACGATCTTGCACCGCCACAGAGTCTTTGCGGGGCTGGTTTTTTTTTTTATATCTTCTTTTTCAATACTTCGTACTTTTCAGGCATCTACTCTGTTTATTTGCGTCCATTAGGCAAAAGAAAACCAACAGGTATCGTCTTTGCGCGCAACGATAACCATGGCGAGGCAAGATACAGGCGACGCTACATCACCCACCCGTCTCGACGGAGCAGGACCAGGAACAGAAAATTACCTTGCTCATTCAGCTTCCAATCTATCAATACCCCATCCGCCAGAGTCCGGAAAACGCAGACTCCTCCTCATCTATGTTCATGGCTTCAACGGCTCCGAAGCCAGTTTCCACGCTTTCCCCGCACATGTGCATAGTCTGTTGACGGATGCGTTGGCCGAGTCTCATGAGGTGTACACCCGGATTTATCCTCGATATAAGTCTCGGGGTGATATGAAAATTGCTCGGGATCAGTTTAGTAGCTGGTGAGTTATGTTTTTTTTTTCGAAATTTCTTAGCGAAATGTAGACCTGATCGCAGTTATAGGTTGTCGCCTCATGAAGCAAATGACCTCGATATCATTCTATTAGGACATAGCCTGGGCGGCATCTTAACAGCAGATGTCGCTCTCCTGCCATCATCACCTTTACATCCACACCAGACTCGAAAACATAACATCTTAGGCCTGATCAATTTCGACGTCCCGTTCCTTGGCCTACATCCCGGGATAATCCAAACTTCATGCAAGAGTCTTTTCCACCGAGATCGAGATCGAGATCCGAGCCCAGCCAAGCATGAAACCGAAACCTTTTCGGAAACCGAAACAGAAACACAAATCACGGCTGAAGCCATCGCCGCGTTTTCTCCTTCTCATTATGATCCCCCGTTCTTTAATGATGTACGCTGGGCCGAACGGAGCGGTATGCAGGGGGTCGTGCATTTTTTTGAGAAAAATTATAATCGGCTTGCGAAATCTATACTCACCCGCATTGTTTCTCCGTATGAGTTTGCGGGGTGTTTGAATAATTACCCGACACTTCGCCGGCGGTATAAACAACTCATGGATATGGAAGCTGAGCATGATCAAGCATCCAGGATTAGGTTTGTGAATTATTACACGGCAAGTGAGGCTCCTGCACCATTGAAGGATAAGGATAACGCTGGAGAAAGCGAACACTCGCCACATGCGAGTATGGAACATTCATCATCGCCAGTCGATGCAAAGGAAACCTCTTCATGTACGGAGGAAAAGTCGGAAAACGAGCCCGAGCCCGAGCCCGAGCCCTGCTCATTGACACCGACCACATCGCACCCAGAATCGGAAGTACGGCCTGAACCAGAACGAGACCCAGACCCAGACCAATCTGATTGCACCTCCGAAACAGTCGAGTGCACTTCAAAACAACACAAAGAGAAGAAACGGCGGAAGTTTGTCCTATTACCATCACATCACTGGAGCCATGGTGACGATTCTCTCTGGATTCCGGTGAATATGGATAATATGAATGAGATAACTGCCCATCAGTCGCTATTCTTGCCGCATGGAAGAAGCTATGACCAGCTGGTTGGGGATACCATGGCGACGATCGAGCAGTGGATACAGGTTGATCTGACGCAACGGATGCTTGCGCAAGAGGAACAGGAGAGGGGGAGTGATGTATATAAGGAATCATGAACTGAAGTTGTATAATTGTAACCGAGGAATAATGTCTAATCACGACCGAAGCCAGTCCCCAGCTTTTCTCCCCTAGCCTGTCTTGCAAGTTCGACGTCTATTTCCTCCTTGAGAGCGTCTTCCCAGTGACTGAATGAGCTTTTAAATCCCAGCCTCTCCTGTATCCTTCGCCCTTGAACCTCCAAGCTGGCCCCGAAGATAATTGGACCATATGGATGCAATGAAGCTGACTCTTCCGCTGTGAGATGGTCCACACCATCCTCAAGCAAAACGGACCTTTCTCCCAGTAGCGAAACAACTTTCTCGACATATGTGGCTTTATCCGGGGTCGTCCAGTCAGAAGTCAGGAAATAATACCCATTGCTACTCCAGTCCGCCCTAGGAGAAACAGCTCCACTGCTGATACCGGAATCAGATTCGGCCTCAAGTTCTCCATACGCAGCCTCAACCAACGCTACTATTCCATCTGCCACGTCTTTCACATGAGCCGTTGCAAAACGATTCCGCCCCTCTCCAACCACAAACGCTTTCCTGCGTTGCAGAATCATGTTGATGTGATATGCAGATCCTCGCTTGATGGGACCAGTTCCCACTCCAGCCACGGCCGGTGGGCTGACGATCGCAGTTCTGACGCCATTCTCAGCATGCTGGGATGCAAAAGAAATGATTCTCTGCTCCGTGGCGGCGTGAATTTGCGTTGCAGGCAGGTTGAGGATTTCGGGGAGATCCGAAGTGTCATTCCAGCTTCTGGAAGGCGGAAGACCTGGTGCAAGGGCGAGGTCCAGTACAGTAGCAGCTCCTGAGAGATGAATGTAATACTTGCTGGACTCGGGTCTGGCCACGGAACCGATTGCAGCAAGAAGAGCGTCTGTCCCAGCGTCGTGGTCACCGTTGGCGAGCTGGAGAGTTATCGACGCCTTGGCAGCCTCCGTGGCAAGGACCTCAGCAATGTCCAGGGAGCCGATAATAGTGGAGATGGCTGCAGCGGGAAATGCGTTTTGGATCGTAGATGCCTGGTTTTCGTTGCGCACGATCACCGTGATATGCCAGGATGGATGCTTTTCCACGAGTGCTGAAAGCGTAGACCCGCCGATATAGCCAGATGAGCCGATGAGGAGGATGTTGAAGGTCATTGTGGAAATGATTGCAGCGATTCAAATGGAAGAGATGTCAGATCAACCTGAGACTGGATTTTTTGGTGGATGGTTCCCATCCTTTTAACTGCCGTGAGGTACTTATTTTGACCAAGCAGAAGTGCAGCTCGCGATTATGAATACGAGATGTTAATGATGTGATAACAGCTGTCCTTGCGGATGAGGATGGCATTCCTCCCGACTCGGATCTTGACTGATCCGCTACCCTGCTGCGGCACATAACTGTCCGGCGAATGGAGAAGAAAAGATACGCTCTATATTCTATTCCTTTCAGATGGCCATCTTTGAGCATTACATCACGTCGTTTGAACTTCTGGAAATCCCAATCTAATCTAATTTAATCTAACTTTAACTGCATTTAGTTTAGTGGATCAAACTAGGCATAGTGCATAATATTGCAGATTCTGTGGGCTAATCTGCACCAATCTGTGTAGGCTTTGGTGTGGACACAGATTTTACTACCATGTACATACCAGTGTCGTCTGAGCATGCAGGGGGTTGCAATCACGGTTAGTAGTTGGTGGGTGACCACCAGCGAATCCCGGCTGTTGTATGTTTTTGCTTTCTGTTCTAACGAAGCGATCTTGTATGAAAAACGTCATTATACTATGTTTTGGGGGTGGCTGTGTGCCGCCGAGTGCTTGGCGAACTCCACGACCCTACTTCTCTGACGATGCCAAGTGACAGCCCAACAGTAATGAAGAAAAAAATCTGATAAGGGTTGATGTGGGACGACCCGGAAAGAGAGTATGCAACACGGGCCACTACTGGCAGAGATTTCCAGAGCGTGGGATGCCGAGACCCTTATTCTGCAGATCTTCCTGCGTTAAATGCGCTAATTCAGTTTACTGGGTAGGATTGTTCGGAGTACACTATACATTTTGCCGGGTCTTCTCAAGTCCCTGATCACAGTGTGCCGGAAAATGTTCTCCGTACGGAGTGCAGAGTATAGAGTCTGCAAGAGACAGCGGATCGACAGGGACTTACCAATGCCAAGATTAAATTAGGATGGGTCTTCTCAAGACTCAACAAGTGGAGTCTTGGCCCGGATGGCTAATTGAGATGTCATGGACTATGTAAAGGGGGATGTTCTCGCACATTCTTGCACTTGTATCCTCATCCTTCCTCATCAGTCACTTACAACACCATGCGATTCCGTCAAACAAGCAGCCTCGTGGCCGCGGCCATTGGACTTCTGGGCTCCGCTACTGCTTTCGAGAACGATGCCTATGACTACATCATCGTCGGTGGCGGTCCTTCTGGTATCATCACGGCCGAGAGATTCGTCGAAGCCGGTCACAAGGTCTTGCTTCTTGAAAGAGGACCCGGTTCGACCGTTCCCACCGGCGCCAATGACACACTTCGCTGGGATCATAACCTGACACCAATCGACGTCCCTGGACTTTCCGGGGACATCGCAACCTACGATGTCTGGAACGAGTACCTGTGCACCGACACTGCTGGATTCGCCGCCTGCGCGCTTGGCGGTGGTGTTTCAGTCAACTACATGGTCTTCGTCCACCCTCCAGACCACGACTTTAATGATAAATGGCCTCAAGGGTGGAAGTGGGAAGACGTTGCGCCGGCGGCGGAAAGATTATACCAGCGGAACCCTGGAAGCACCTTGCCTTCTGCTGATGGCAAGTACTACGACCAGGGACTGTACACTACCTTCTCGAACTTCTTGGACAATCTTGGCTGGAAATCCGTCGACATGATCGCCCAGCCCAATGAGAAGCATAAGGTCTACAGTCACCCGTCATGGAACATCAAGGACCAAATGCGTGCTGGCCCTGTCCGCACCTATCTCCCTGATATCCAGCACAACGACCGGTTTACACTGAGTCTCGGTACCAAGGTCATTCGTCTGGTCCGTTTAGGAAGCCAGGTTACCGGAGTCGAAGTCGAAACTGCATCTGGTCAAACTGAAGTCATCACGCTGGCTTGCAATGGCCGTGTTGTTCTTGCTTCGGGTGCTCTCTCCACACCGCGCGTGCTTTTCAACTCCGGCATCGGCCCCAAGGCGCAAATCGAAACGGCCCAGAAGACTGGTGTTGCGGTTCCTTCTCAGGAAGAGTGGATCGATCTGCCCGTCGGTGTTGGCCTCAAAGACCACTCCATCTTTTCCCTCGTCGTCAAGACCAACGGAACCTTTGGCTCGCTCGACTCCGCAAGCGTCCTGAACGGAAGTGACGTCGCCGACATTTCTCAATACAAACAGCACAACGGCGTTCTGACTCAAGGCAAGCACCGCTTGATCTTCTTCACTTCGAACGAGGTCGATGGCGAGACCCGATACTACCAGGGTTCCTGCGCCCCCGATGACGACAGCACCATTAGCCTCAGCGCCTACATGACCCACGGCCTGACCTCGTCTGGTGTCCTGGGACTGGATAAGAAAGGAAACACCGTCACGGAAAAGTCTCCGTACCTCCAAACCGCCGGAGACCGCAAAGCCGCCAGAATCTTCCTCCAACAACTGGTTGACGACATCACAGCCCCTTCAACTGGCTTCCAACTGGATGCGTACACCAATGTCTCTGCAGTTATCGATGCACAGAGCCCTGGTGGGCACTACACTGGTACAGCCCGGATGGGCACGGATGACGGCCGCGACGGTGGATCGGCAGTTGTTGATACTGATGCCAAGGTATACGGTATGGACAATCTGGTAGGTTTATCCAATGTCCTTATTCTATGCTTTGATATTAATGCGAATTACAGTACATTGTCGACGCTAGCATTCACCCGGATGTCCCCACGGGTAATACCATGGCCATTACCATGGTTGTCGCTGAGGCAGCGGCTTCCAGAATACTTGCTCAGGACTAAGGATTTTGCTTGATTGAACTAACAGTGATGCATCGGTTTCTGAGTCGACCCTGTCACTGCCTGCTGCTATGTCTTAGGTTGCTGTTTCTGGATAGTCCTCTTTTTATTACTATTTTCTCTTCTAGTAGTATACATAAATTCATGACACTTTGTTGACTTCCGCATATGACCGAGACCGTTGATATGTACTCCGTGATTAGGATTAATCAATGAAAGTTTTACCCCCACATCTATAAATCATATGGACGGCCACTCCCCATCCTCATACGGCTTACCTACTAACGCCGTCTCTGATTATCTGTACTCCTCCCCATATCAAAATACCCACTTATGCAGAACATTCTCAGCGCCCATTGAGATCTCCCTCACTACCCGTTCACATGGATATAACCAAATGAAAGTCACAGCCGGATTTTCTCCGTGTCTCCTGGCCATCTAATGTTTTCAATTCTGTGATTGTAGCCACTCCCCGGATGCTTCCGATATTGGCATAGTGTTAGTGGCGTGCAGTTGTTGGACGTGGAGAGCGAGCTCATTTGTGGAAAATTTCGTGCTGCCTCCACCCCCCTTACTACCCATTAATTTTATGCCAATTTGCTTGAACAGGATAATGCGCATCCTGTGAGGTCATGCGCAAGAACTAGACTAGGCCTCCGGAATCAAGTTTTCGCCGGCCTTTAGATTGGAATAGGCACTATTCGCAATTGCTTTATGGCATTAACAACCACCGGACACCCTTGGAGTTATATACCGCCATTTTGAGATCAATTCCGATGTAGCTGTCCTTCGCAGAGTGTTGTCTCATGTAGTGGAACGCTTGAACAAGCACTTGCTTCAACTCTCGCCAAACAGGTAAGATTTCAAACGACAATCAAGTGGAAAAGCCTTCCACGGGTATCACAAATGGGGGATTCAGGAAAAGGGTTGTATTTGGCGCTATAACCGTAAGAGGTGTTGATACTCGGTAGGAAGCTCGGATGCCGCGCCTTTGTTCATTGCCTGCAAGTCTCGAGAGTGTGTCAACATATAAGTTGGATATGTTGATTGTAAGCGGTGTAGTATTAGAAAATCCCGTGAACAGGTGACCCCGACAGTTTATAAGGGCTTAAAGGCTGTTCGGTATCCATTGGCTTTATTTACTTTTTCTTTACCCTTCCGTCTTTTTGCCTCATTTATCCATGAAAGCGATAATTTGGATTCTGTCTTGATACCTTTTGAGGTCAACAAGAGAGGTGTCCTGGTCTTGGGGTTACGAGCTCTTCGGCCTCGAATCATCGACGATGCCCCTGTCATGATTGTATCACGATGCCTCTATATGATGTCCCAGACATTGGTTGCAGCGCTACGCTTGGGAATGGGATACATTTTCGATCGCTCTGAGATCATCGTACTTTTGGCGAATGTATAAAAGATCGTTGTGGGGGCAAAGGTTGATAGAGTATCAGCCCCCATGGTTGTGCGACAAAAGACAATGGAGGCGACCAGCACAGTCCACCTGCCCCATTCCATGTGCTTGTCATTGAGTAGAATTTTGATAAGAAAGCTAGAGGCCTGATGAGCAGCATTGGTATAAGGAAGACCAGTGCCAGGTTAAAGGAGGGCCGGCGAATGCGATGGGCTGCAAATTCCCTTTTGAATGACAAGACCATAGGCAGATATGTCTCTTTAATAATCTATATTGTTGATTTGAAGCAAGATTAACAGCAATTGCGTAACGTATTGACTTGATCTCTTTCATATAGCGTGAAAGGCGAAGGTGAGAGGGCTGGTCATATGATTGGGATGAGTATGCCTCACCTTCTTCCGATTTCAACGACCAGCGACAAGTCAAAGATATCGCACATTTATGCGCCCAGTGGTACAGGAGGCTTTACTTGATCAACCCACATTCCTCAATCCACCACTTGCAACTACAAACGAAACCATGGCGCAAACATTGCTACAATTTTTGACACAAGCGCCGCCTACGATCCCCACACAAAACACAAGAGCGGGCTCGAACACAGCGAGCGCGCGCTATAGCTGGCGCGATATAAGGCGTGTGACGGTTTGGAGAGAATTTAACTTCAACCATATCCAGCAGACATATGGCGCAATTCTGGCTGGCGTCACCATCGCACCCTGATCCCGGCGGCCCTCCCGCCAATCCGCGATGAGGAAATGTTCAAGTCTCATTTTTTTCGAATGTATATCCCCGCGCGTCCGAGCAGCACTGGTTGAAACATTCAATCAACTTCCTGCCGTTGACCCTACCCGCTACTTCACAGCAGTCAGCCTTGAGACTGGCTCAGCCGCCATTCTTCCCAGTAACTTCTGTCCTGATCTGGCCATTGTCAGCACTGCCGCGAGCGCTGGTACCGGTGCGAACCGTGGCCCAGGGGATTGCAAGGTGTCTTGGAAGTGGGTCGCCAATTGGCGCACGTAGGGGACTAATGTGCAAAGGATCGAGTACAGACAAGTACTATCACAACTTCAGTTCTATATGCGCCAGCACAGGGCCAAATATAGGTATATCGTAACCAACACTGAACTTGTCGCAGTCAGAAGGTCGCAGTCTCGAGGCCACCTGGCAGTATCGAACCCTATCCCATGGACAACCAGCGGGAACGGGCAACTGACTGTTTACCTCGCACTCTGGTATTTGGCAATGTTGGGAACAGAAAATGGCAGCTGGCGCATTTGATTATCTGATATGCCGGGGAGCGCCACTATTGGTGTTCTTTCTTTTTCTTGCTACAAGCGAGTACATGGGGCGGTTTTTGTATGTGTAGCTGTCGAATCGTCATACAACTTCAAATTATGTTACGTATATATTCTACCGGGCAATAAGCGAGTGAAGAGAGCGGGTAATTGGGGAGTCGATTATCCGGACTGCACGAGGCTATATAGAGGAGAACATTGATTTACATGAAAGAGTGATATTGATAGGCTATATCCACCATGATAATAGAATGAGTGCTTAGCCATACGCCTCAGATGGCTAAGCACTCATTCTATCAATACGGTATCTATAGTTGTCAATATCACCCCCTTTCGCGTAATTCAAGGATAATCGACTCCCCGATTCCCCGATCCCTGAGCTATCCGCTCACTTCAGTTTTCCCCAACTTCTGTTCGAGCAGTTTTTGTTCCCCAGTCATCCTTGCTCGCGAATTATATTGCACGCCATGGAAATGAATGACCCACCTAGCGCATTCTCAGATACTATTAGTCCCTCAAAGCTCAAGTTTATCAAGAAAATCCACAGTTCGGAGAGTTCAGAAATATCCATAGTATTATATGATGAAAATGAACTATGCTTGAAAGTGGTAGGTCAACCTGTGCCTTAATGTGGTCTGGAAACTTCAACTATCGTGAACAATGCTAAACAATCGAAGTTCCACATGGATGATGACCCAGGGTACGCACACGACGGCCGGGATCTCTGTAGATACCGCTGCGAATCTCACTCATACGAACGCCTTCAGACCCACGGAGTGTGCAGTCAAGGTTGCGTGTCAAACTTCTATGGTTTACTCGAAGATCTTGATCCGGATCTCTTCGGCTCGCATCTCGTGGAGTTCAAGGACGATAATACACGACCCTGCGCGATATTACTGGAATACCTACCAACTACTGAGACGCTTAACAAGGATAACAGCAGAGACGAGTTCGTGCAGATGGGTCTTGAGGGATTGGAGAAGATCCATGAAGCTGGTGTCATACACAACGACGCGTATCCGAAGAATGTCTTGTGTGGGTTGACTTCGATGTGACGATTGTGTTTCCCGCGGGGAGGAAGAAGAGGGGCAATCTTAGGTTTAAGGATGAGGTTGAGGTTGAGATGGGATTATTCCAGTCAGCCGCTCAAGACATGGTGAGGATTACCTTTTTTTTTTTTTTTCCCACCTGTTCTGCTTATTTGCTTACTGACTCGCTGGTAGGATCGATATGGTTAGCCCTATTACGGCTGTACTTGTGCGTCTATGATGTACTACTTTCTTGAGGTGTATTTCTTGGTGTGACTGCTCGCTAGCACCTCTCTCATCAGATTCATTCGACCAATGGTCATTCTATAGGGAAAACGGGTCTACTAGAATCCTACCAGGCAGCGAAGTCGCATATTCCAGAATTATGTCCAGGTAGGTATTTTCGACACTTAGTACGTATCCCTAACCACTAATATGGAAGTACTAGGACATAGTCATATCACAAAAACATATATCACCACCCAATGGGATTCAACCGAATCCACTTCGCCTTCAACAAATTCTCCTTAAGTGTACGACCAAACAGCAAAATCGCGGCCATCAGAAGACTGCCAGGGCGTAGTCTGGGCCTTGAAGGGGTGGCAGGCATCCACACCCCGGTAGGTGGTAATGTTCTTGGCGTTGACAAACACTTCCCAAATATCATTTCCACCACGAAAAGGGCAGGCCAGGAAGCCATCCGCGCCGTTGGCCTTGTAATTCCACTCGCGCTCGACCTGCGAGAACCCATTCGTAGAGGAACCGGGTTCCATATGGCTGTCGCTGCCGCCAGTGTATCTGACGTGACCGTTGGGGTCAACGTAGATGTGTTCACCACCGGGGATCTTGGCGGACTAGAAATTAATTTACTTAGCTGTGAATGCAATCGTGATGCAGGTTGGATAAGATATACCATGTAGTTTGCAGAGGCCAAGACAGGGGTATCTCGGATAGTAGTGTTACCACCAGGGCAGCCGCCAGCCTTAACCGCTTCGGGAGGGCACCAGACGTCGGTTTCACTGTTTAGGTACAGGTTTGTGGAAGAAGCGTCCAATTTCAGGTTGTGAACAGGAGAGCCAGGGTTGATGGCGACGACGGTGAAGCCTTTACTGGTCTTTTTCTCGGCTGGGAGGGCAATGACGCCAGCCAGGAAGGGCAGGATGGAAAGGAAAGTAGAGAACTTCATGTCTAACGAGTGTGGTTTTGAGTTGAACTGAGATGGATTCTGTTGTTGAATGAATATTTTACGGTGATGAGGGTTGAAAAGATGGAGGTCTTTATACCATTTACGCTGGTCGCCCCTGTTACCTGCAAAGCTGAGTTTCTTGTCGTCCGTTCTAATATTGGATTTTTGTGGGGAACTTCCCTAGTTCGGGGCTGTGAGATCTGAGAAGGATGTCATACCAGCTTCCCATTTGGTAGGTTTCTGGTATCCTTGACTGATCATCATTAATTAGAGATAGAATACGAGCTTTTCTTTGGGGTTCACCGCTCGTTTAGCCTTGTATCCACGATGTGGAACGGCGGCTGTGTATGGCCTCAGAAGAGGTCCCCACATTCTATGTGTAAACATTTGTTTTTCTCTCCCCTTGAATCAAGTGCTCGAATTCCCAAGAGACGGGCGATTGACGAACAGACGCATCAGGCTTAGTGAGCATTGAGCTTTTGCTGGTGGACTTATCTTTTTTGTGTATGATACGGCGAAATCCCGAGGGTTATACAATATACGGGATGGTTTTGAAGGAACTCTAGGAAATCACCTGTATTACTATCATTGAAACAAACTGGCTGGTCAGTCAGAAGATGATATTAGCTTGATCCTAAGAATAACAGGAATCTAGACTAAAATAGCCTTCGAGTGACTGTACACAGACCCAACTCCCAGATGTTCAACTCATGTATCCTCGAATTCGCTGTCCGAATGGTTATGGACATTACTGTCAGATTTTAATGAGCACTCCGCTTTCTTGTTTCCGAGGGAGGCAGCGTCCTTGCCCTTTCGTGACAACTCCTGCGACGATTCCGCTACCCGGCAGATCATTAGGCGTAGATGGGTGTAAGCGTGCTTGTCAAGTCGATAGGAGTGGGTGTCTGAAGTATTTTTTAAAAGTCCAGGAGGACATCTATAACCTGTTTGAGAGCCTCAGGCTCCAATATGCCCCGCTCCTGATTGGCCCGCACTAGCGAGCACACACAACTGCCGGATAGAGATCCACCCTCATCCATCTACACAGACATAGAATATAATAGTATCGTCGATGCCGTTCCTTGCCATGGCCTGATCCACAGGTACTAGGCCCTAGGCTATGCGAAGTCCAGAGCAGCCACAACAACCACCACACTGCATGGGCCTCAAGGACAGCTTGCCAGCTCCATTGAGGAAAGGGAGGCCTTGATTCGGGAGACAGCCTTCCCACAGGCACCAGGGGATGACCAGAAAGTTGAGATCCCCCAAGGGTCCTGGCATGACCAGGTGGATGAGGAAATAGTTAAACGTGCCCTGTTTTACCAGGCAGTCCAGAAGGCTCCGGGAATTGATCGGCTGAACTTTCGGGCTCTCCGGCTCTTATGGGAGTGGGACAGTCCCAGAATTGTTGCCCTAGCCCGGCAGTGCTTCCGACTAGGTTTACATCCACCGGTGTGGAAAGTGGCAAAGGGCATCCTGCTAAGGAAACCCAATAAGCCAGACTACACGGCTGTGAAGGCATAACGTAATCCACAACCGAGCGGGCCATCTCCCGGCGGTGTTTGACATGTTGAAGTCAATAACATTGTCAATATTCGCCGAGCGGAGCCAGGATGGACATTTTGAAGGCCTCAGTTTCAAGGACTCGTGGTAGACTGTAAAACGAATGTGGTTGTTGTATTCTGAGTCGAGCACGTGGCTTCTATCTACATGCTAGTCAAGCTCGTATAAACACCCAATGTCAGGTGATCAGGGTGAGCGACGCTCGCCCTGCTCACACCCTTAATCACCTTGCTCAGCGAACTGCTCTGGTGATCACCACTGACCGTCGTTACTCCCGCTAGCTCCCCTTCCCCTCCTGGTCGTCTTGATCCAACCCTAACCCTCCATAGTACTTCCGTACTGGAAGCTGTGGAACAAATCAATCCATTTCGCTTAGCATTTACATTGGTGGAGCGGACCCAAGGCGATAACGTGACAGGATCCATCGGCGCAGTTTGCGACGCATGTGTCCGCACCATTGAAGTCCTGGCCGCATTCACTGATTTTCCGTGTTAGTGTGGTCTACATCTTAACGTTTGAGACTATCTCCAATGACAAAGGAATGTTTTCATTGAGCTGGGATTGTACTCACGTGTTACGACGGGCAACCTGCTCGGTAGCTGGCATAGCAGTGGCAGACCCAATGACTGCAAGAAAGAGACCGAGAGAGGTGATTGAGAAACGCATTGTGTCTTGAGGCTTGATGGACTTTTCGAACGAAAGAAGCTTGTATGCTTTGACGATGTAATAGTGCAAAGACGTGTTGAGTTGCTTTGATGAAGGAGTTATACAGAGAAACAAAGGGTGAAGACGAGCGTAGCTTTAAGTATCCTCGCTGGCTCTCGCACCTTGGTCATCAAGAGGATCCTTCCGAAGGATTCCGCGCACAGTTCATGAATGACTTTGCCTCCGATCCATGCTCTTCTCAATTCGGTCATTTTTGCGATCCAAAGATGCAGGCCACGTCAATCAGTGACATAATATAGTGAGAGATCCACAAAAATAGAGCGAGGTGTCGATACCTGTTGACTTCCGTATATGCTGAATGCCTGATCTGTAGCCGCTCTGACTGACCAATCAAAACCTCAGCCTCTCGCCTAGTACCCTAAACGTCCGACTTACTACTGCACGAACATATGCATGGATCGAGAGTAATATGATGATAGGGTCGGGGACTACAGCTATGCAGTCAGCATCCTTTGACTATGGCCACCGCATACATGCATTATGCACTTTGTTCTCCTTTTGTCTTTGCATCTCCTTCCGATTCATAAACGAAGCCACTTACTCTGTAATGCAAAATGTGGGCTTCTTGTACATATAGGCGCACTCAACATGCAATCGGGTCGATGCTGACTTAGGGGACACGACCTAAAACGTGTGTGTTCAGGTCGGTTTACCCAGGCGGCCAAAATTCGCTTGGTATATTGTGAGGTCGCAGAATATGCCCTATCCAATAAGTACAATGCTTAGTATCAGCCGCTGATCACAATGCCAGTATCATGAGATCTTAGCGGGGCCATAGCGGGAACCACGCATTTCGCAAGGCTGGGGCATGAAATCCTCCTGTTGGCCCCTGCATGAGTGCTCCACCCTGCCTCTACTGGCGGAGATAAGCATTTTGAAAGTTCAGGGCATGAGAATCTTCCGATCTTCTGTTATGCATGGAGCCACCCCCAATACGTCTCCTGAAATGATCGGTGACCCTCGCTTCCGTTATAGAACAGCGGATTAGTTCTTCATATTATTTGCGCGCTATTTGTGCACTTCAGGAACCGGAACAAGAATTGGGGTTGCGTTGAAAAAAAGTGGAGAAGGATTATCGGTATTATTACTATTCAAGGTAATATAGATGCTGGATGCACTAACTCCAAAGGCACGCACTTCGGCCCCATATATGACTGGTCCCCTCAATATTAGACCGACAACAACATACTTCTGGCTGTAGGACGATGAGGATAGTATGATGGATAACAGCTGTCGCATCCTCGAAATATTTTAGACTAGCTGTGCTAATTTGAGAAAGATTATCACATCTCCACGCAGCAAAGGTGGCTTGGAGCCTAAACTGGGGGCAAATGAAAGCCCCCAGTTTGTTGCCCAGCCCGGCCTTGGCGGAAATCGATGCCCACTTCAGAGCAATTTCATCCTTACAAGAAATAGCATCCGGGTACATGAACGTTGCACTAGGGTTTCATTTTGCTTTGTTCAGAGCTGGCGGGTGGTACAATATCTCTACTAGTACTACAAGCGTTTTCATTTGCGACAATATTCTTAGAGAAAGGAAAAAACAAATCTGGTTCCAAATTTCGGGTCCGGCACGTTCCTGTCGGATCCAAAAATCTTTACTGTCTCGGATATAACGCATGCAGAGCTGAGCAGGTTTGCCACGACGATAGCCTTGCCAATCTATCTTATAGGTTGAAAAGATTTTCAGTGTAGAGCTGGGGACCGTCAGAGTATTAGCAGCTGCACATGACGAGGCGGGCTAGTGGAAAAAGCGTTGTCGCGGCGAATTCCTTCTGGCCCCCTTCTTTTGACCACTACATCCACATTTTCGCCCCCCCCCCTTTGAGCGGGCGGTTTCCCTATCCCATCCCCACTATCATTGCCCCCATACACAGAGTCTAGAGCTTTAATCTAGCTACTAGGCCCTAATCCTAGATAGGAGATTGTTATACTGCGCTATCTCAACCAGAAAACCGTCACGCCCTTAGCCAAAGACTCGAAATCACCAAATTTAGATGATGAGGTGCGACAACGATATCAATTCAGACATTTATGAGCGTATATTGTGCGTATGTGTTGTGGTAGTGTGTGGTCAGTAGTAGTAGTAGTGTGTGTGTGTGTGTGTGTGTGTTTCTATTTTACGTCGAGGGTCGGGTATTTCCACGCTTCCTTGGAGGCGGAAGCGGGGAATCCCTGGTCCCGGAGCGGGACATACGACGGGCAGATTGGAACTGCCTGGATGCGCAACTGAATCATGGGCTCACAAGCCATGTCAGTACTCTCCTACAAGCCGTGGCTAGTAAAGTAAAGCAAGAGGATAAGGAAATACTAGAGATTTTAAGTCTACTTGGGAAAAAGGTCTCCTCCATGAAGCAAGAGAAACTTCCCAGAGCCTGTTCCTTTGGGGAAGCTCTTCACACCTTTGTGTGCAACTACTTCACCCAACACATTCCTAGCACAACTGTCCAGGATCAGCACCCTACATCCCTGCCAGCCCTAGCTGGGCCGGAGGAGTTCCAGAGATGGCTCTCTTCCATCCCACAACCAGCAATGGTGGTCTACACAGATGGGTCCAAAGAAAAGGAGAGCACAGCCGCAGGTACAGGCTGGGTGAGCTACTGGGGCACCAACAGGATCAGGATTTTCCATGGGCACACAAAGCTTCCCAATCAGGAAGTCTTTGAATCCTTTGATGCAGAAGCCAGAGCCAAGCATACCATAGACATACACATCTGTCTGGACAACCTGGAAGCAGTACAGCAACTCCAAGGCCAGCCCACAGGATCAAGTCAGTCGGTATTCAGGAGTTTCCAAGAAGCTGCCCAAACATGGCCAAATCGCATCAGAGCACCAGGCGTACAGGAAGGCAGGGTGCATGTGAAATGGGACCCTGGGCATACAGGCATTGAAGGCAATGAAGAATCTGACAAAGAAGCCAAGATGGGCTGCCATGGGCCCCTGAACCTCCCTATAGCACCTGCGTCAATAGCAGCTGCCAGACGAATAGTGCAGAGGATGTACTGGCATGCCTTTGCACAGTTTTGGGCAGAAAATGCCCCCAAACAATATAAGGACCTCAGGATAGGCCTGGAGAAGCACCCCCCAGAGCTCCTCCTTCCACGAACAGCCCTGGGCCGCCTCCTTGCCGCCAGGAGCGAACATGGTGACTTTGCAGAGTACCATGAACGCTTTAAACACAGTGACGCCCTGCTGACATGCTCTTGCGGCCGCAGAAAGGAACCATCCCATTTCTATCATTGCAGGGAGGGCCGCAAAGCAGCAGCACATCCATGGGGCCGCTGGCCTGTGACTGATATCCTCTGCACAAAGGCTGGATACACTGCATTTGCAGGCTGGCTGGGCGAATCCAACTTCTATACAGATATCTGCCGATGACATTAGGCCACCAAAATCCACCAAATTTAGGGATACCCAGACCTACCTCTGGTCCCTATCCCTCTCTCCAGACCCTTCCTTTCATCTTCCCCTTATTGTACCCCGTTCTTCTCCATCCTTCTTGCTCGCGTTCTTGTTTTTCTATCCAAACCAATATGCACAATTCGCTGGTTGACAGCCATGAAAAACCCAAGCAGCCCCCCGCGCGGGGGGCTACCTGTATTTAGATGATAGATGGTAGTTTAGCTAGGTGACAGGCAGTTCCGATCTGCCCGTCGTATGTCCCGCACCAGGACCAGGGCTTTTTCCGCTTCCGAGGTTCCCAAGGATGCGTGGAAAGACCCGCCCCCGACGTAAAATAGATACACACACACACACACTACTACTACTACTACTACTACTCTCCGCCTTCCGGGGGTTCCGGCCTATTCGCAGCATAGTGGTTCAGCGAATCACTGCCTACCCTAGGCGCTGTGTATGTGGAGGCCCTGCGCCACAGCCACTATGGGAGACTGCGAGGTTTACATAGAATGCCACTCCGATGATCAACACAAAGGCGGAGCCTTGTTTGTGCTCTGGCGCGTACTGTTTTGATTGGCTACAAACACCAACGGATTGCTGCAGCCAAATGTAGAAATTCATGTCTCCAATCGTCCCATTATTTCTCAGCGTCTACAGATTCGTCGATGTATGAGGAAAAGGATTTTGCAATGATTGAAATGAAGTTTTGATTGGTGGCTACTGGATTGGTGTTGACCGTCCAGCTAGCTGGACAGCGCACCCCTGAGAGCGAGTTTTCAAGAGATAATTCTAAGCAATTTGCCCGGTATTGAGCGCCTTGGTCACATGGGGGCGGATGTTACATATCAAATTAAACCATCGAGAAGAAATTATGCCTGGGGAGCGAATCCCAACCGGGGCTCCTGAGGGTCGAAGACCACATACTGGCTCTTCAGGAACACATCACCGAAGATCGAGAATCCCATGCCAGAGTTGCTCTGGATACCACCGAAACAGCTTGATCCTTCCTCGTCAATGGCGGACATCTTGATGTACTTGCCGGGAGTGACGGCCTTGTAGCCATCGCTGCCAATGATAGTGGTGAAATCAGGTAGATTAGCGTCGCAGGGGACGGTGTAGCCACCAGCCTGTTGGTTGTTGTTCGAGTCAGAGACTTGCTGGTAGTATGCGTCGACGACATCTTCGGGGAGCAAGAGGAGGGTGGTGCCGGTATCTGACATAATTAGTAAATTGTCAACTATGAAGTATGTATATTATGCTTACCAGCGATACCAGTCAGAGAGCTGGAGCTGGCGTCACCATCGCCGACGCTGTAGCCCTGAGCTGTGAACATCCAGAATCCCTGGCTGTTGTCGACATCGGTGTATGTGAGCGAGCCGGTGTATTTAGACTTATCGGTGTAGCCAAAGTCGTAAGAGCCTGGCTGCTGGTGCTTGAGAGCAACCGCGAAGACACCCTCATCGAGGTCGTCCTTGACAGTGTCGAAGAAGGTCTTCTGGGAGTTGGGCTTGACTATTTTATTGTTAGTCCTATTCGAGTTATATATAAAAGACTGAGAAAGCTTACCAGTGTTGATAGAGCTAAAAGCCAATCCCATCAAGCCGTCATTATCCGTATCGGAAACGAACGACTGACTGAGCTTCGAGGCCGCTTCGACTGCTTGGCCTTGCGCCGTGACACCACCGACACTAACAGTGTCCTTGTAGACGTCGCCAGAGGCACCGCTGCCATCACCATATGAGATCTCCCAGCTGTATCCGTCCAACTTGCTCGCGTCGGAAGTGGGGTTATAGACGCTGTGTCCGCTCTGCGTGTCGGAAGGCAGCTTGTCCGAGAAGACCCACCTAGGATTGTTAGCCATTGCAAACGACAAAATGAAGTAAGGGCGGCTTACAGATCCGCAGATCCAGTGTCAATATCCAAATGGAGTATCGTGTCGCCGACCTTGATTGGTGTCAAGTACTCCTTGTCACCCTCCTCCGGCGTGGTGGTAGCACTACCACTCTTCGCAGCAGACTTGATATTGGCAGGAGCATTCTTTCCATACTTCGCATACGCTTTAGCGTAGATGCCAGAATAGTTGATGGTTCGCGAATGCCCTTCAGTCGTAGGCTTGGCGAGCTGGTTGACAGTGAAGCCTCGGCGAGGTCGTGCCATAGGCACTGCCGACACAGTCGACAGGCCAGCGAAGAGAGCAACTGCGTTGAGGAGATGCATCTTGAAGAAAGAAGATGAAATCTCAGCTACCAGGCAGAGAAAAGAGGGAAAATAAACACCGAAGTTGGCAAACGGAAAGATAGAAGTATAAAGCAAGAGAGTACTTGATTCACTTCACGATGGTTAGAGAATGATGGGATGATGAACAGCTGAACGACGGGAAACAGCTTGCTTTATATACCCATCATTTGCATGCTCCGACACGGGGTCTTCATATTATCATCCCACTAGACACTCCACCAGAAGCGGAGGTCGACCCTAACCCGCGGCCCAGACCATTCACCTCCACGACAGCTGTAAGCAACAATCACGTTTCTTTCCCTCCAGCTCTTCCAATCTTACGCTCTCCGAGCGAATCAAATGTGAAGAATTCCAATTCCACGTGCCATCTCCTGATACTCTTTTGCCCGTGCGCTGGGCATACTGCACTGCGGACAGGGCCGAACCGGTAGGAATCAAGATTCTAGAGCTGTATGTCTGAGTCCTACCGGCCACCTCCGGCTGGTCAGTGCTAGGTATGCGCTTGTACCAATAAACAATTGAAGACCGCTTATCCATCGGTTCTGATTGATTGACTGTAGATTGTTTGGTGTCAAGTTTAATACTCGGCAGGCAGCCAGGGGTGGCAATCTGAAAAGCGAGTACCAATGATATTGAGGATCTGACTAGCCTCGAAGATGCGTGAAATGTTGTCGGTTTGGTTAAAGGTTTGTCCCTGACTGTATTAACAGTTAATACACAGCAGATAGCATCTCAAGCAGTATCAATTACATTGTCGGGGTTAGCAAATGTCAAGGGCTGAAGGTAGAAGGCTGACAGCTAGTACGGCAGATGATAGGAGTTTCTGTGATCAAAATTCGCAATATATTATTATTATTATTATTATTATTCATACTCGCATCTGTCAGCCCTGTTCGGCCGAGTGGCGGCAGGTCCGGTAGCGCGGCCGGGTAAACCGCTGTAGTGGTAATCATTAAGTACAACGCCCATCTATGTGCCATATAATATGCCTTCTCGCGAGCTGATTATCCCGTGCATCTCTTTATGCCGCTATTCCCAGGGCCGCGGATGAGTCCTAGGCTTGCTGGATACTGCCTCGTCTCCATCCCAACACTTGTAAGTGTATAACCTTTTAGCTGCGCTGGGCAGCTGGTTGCCTCGTGACCCGGTATGCAGCTTCTAGGGCTCTAAACTGACCTAGGAGACCGGTCTCAAGCATGAATCGTACCGCTTTTGGTGCTAGATCCGGCCGAGCAGGGTAGGCCCGGTAATCTAGCTCTCGGTCAGATGATGTGCTCGGGGGCCAGCAAGTCGTAATATATGTAAAGTACCTTCTGTCTCAGCCATACTATTACTGCAACACACTACAAAAAAAAATACAGGAATCTCGAGCGCAATGCCCCGTTGAATACCTTAAGCAAGATAAGAAAGTGAAAACCATGACCAGTAAAAACTCATCTCCGAATCTTTAATTAGCACTATCAGCACCTCAAGATCCCTGGTTGAGGGGTAAAAATAAGGTTGAAGAATATTTTCAACCGGTGGTGGGCGTACCTAGGATGGTTTAGAAAACTAGTATGATGAGCACTAGACGGTCATGGATTGAATTAGGATAGTGGGTCCATGATAGTCATATTACAGTTCAGGCCACCCGACCCTAGACCCTAGCCCGCCTTCAAAGGACCTCCCCAAGAAACAGCAATAAACTCAGGACTAGTTGTTGACTGGTTCGATTCTCTAAGCTGCGTCTGTCTTTGCTAATGAGTAACTAACTGAAGCCGCAAAATCCGCGCCAGGCCACGCTGAATCCGCTGCCATCCATTGGGCTTGGACGCTTGGTTAGGGTTGCATTCGGCGGATTGTCGTGAATCGACCTCCATCCGTGGATTGGCGCGAATCAAGCCGCAAGATCCGCACTAGAGCCCAGATAGGCAGGCACCAGGTTAGGGATCGGAAACTTCAGCCCCGCCAAGAAATTTTCGGAGAGCCAGTATAAACTAGGTAATACTACCGCTCATCTTTATATGCCATCTACTTTATTAAATGAAGGGTATTAGATTAAAGTAAATAAATTCACATTCTGCTACTTCACAGGAATATAGAGCTTGCAGTATTGTGGGGGCTTATTTTCTACCCTGGCCCCGATGCTTTTCCTTCCCTACACGCCTGGTCATATGGTGTTTGGCATCCTTGTCAGTTAGATAGCCTGTATTACTCAATGAGGAAGGTCCCTTTACTAGTGTATGTAACGGTCTCGGACAATAGTAATCCATTGGTAGACTATCTGGCGAAATACTAACATGAGGAGAAGAAATGAATCTGGGCCTGCCAACGCTGAACTATCTGTTGTGGATCAGGCTATGGCAAGGAACGGCATCGACGATACTATTGTATTCTGTGTCTGTGTAGATGGATGAGGGTGGATCTCCTCTATCCGGCAGAGCGCGGGCCAATCAGGAGCGGGGCATATTGGAGCCTAAGGCTCTCAAACATCTGTTGTGCGCAGAGGCCCCTGCTCTATATCCGAATAGACCAAAGTAAACAAACATATCGTACTGCTAGCGAGCGCCTGCGCTCCGTGACAGTCTGCGAGATCGAGGCTTCAGGCTTATTCCTCTGGCAGAGGTCAAAAACCTATTAATCTCTTCCTCACAGTGGGCATTGACCTCAATGTGAAAAAGTCCACCGCTGAGAACATAATCAATCTGCCCTTTTGTCACGGGCTCGGAGCCAGTAGATAGTAACGAATGATATTCCTATCTAAACTAGCGTAGCCATCGACGCGAATATCAAATCTGGGGAAAGAAGAGAAGAGAAAATCTACCTAGGAGCTGAAGGGCTTAATAGGTGTTGCGCGGTTACACCAAAGCTCTGTTGCCTTTGTTTGGCGTGTTGATGTCGTTTGTCCGTATCAATCATTGACGCACCGTTGAGTCATCACACCTTTAAGATGAGGGAAAAGAAAGCCTAAAGTCTGTTCACTACTATCTAGACCTCTTTATACCTTTTTTATATCTCTCTGGAAGTGCTGGAGTGTGGTGACGAGGTAACTGATCATGGAGTCTTAGATCAGCCAGAACTCCCACCTTCATGCGTTCAGGATAATGGGCTTTTATTTCTGGTGCTTGTTTTCAGGAAAGAGGCGTTTGATTAAGTAATATACCCAGTTTTGACCGGTTTTTAGTGGTGTTTTGACCGGGGATTGGTATGGCTGCGCCGGACTGCCGGTAGAATCAATTTGCACATTTTTCAACTTGTTGGCATTGGGGTTGGCATACTGCCCTATCAAGTTGATAGACCTAGTTCCGCAGGGAATTTTCTTGTGGTTATTGATAGTATAGTCGAATGGTTGTGTTTGAAACCTGGAAGGAACTTCTTTCGGGCGTCAATAGGGTTGCACAGCGAAGCTGCAAAATCCGCGCCAATCCGCAATGGAAGTTGAGAAAGTTCCGGATTCGGATTAATCTGCAGTCATCCATTTGGCTTAGTAGGCAGCGAGGCATCAAAATATCGAAAGTCTATTGACATAGGCATATAGAGCATATATAAATCTATCTATCTTAGAATATGAGGCCCATAGGCAAAAAACTAAGTTTCTTTATATACTTACCATACGCAAAGTACACGAAATATATATTCCATATTACCTATATGCAAGAAGTAGAACCAAGTCAGTGCGTTCCATGTCCATTGGCCACATGAGCTATGCGCATCCAATGATATCTTTCGAGCCAGTATATGCCCCTCCATTGAGCAGCATCTCCATCATTGACCCAGACTTTTGCCGAGTAGCAAGATGCAGTGGTGTACCAATACTTTTTCTGGCCATTATTCAAGTCTTCACCAGCGGCGATGAGCGCTTGTACAGTTTGGTTCGTACCATTACACACTGCTTCGTGGGTGGGAGTATGTCACATGTTGTCTTGCTGATTTATATCAGCATTGGCTTGAATGAGAATGTCTACCGCGGATTCAGAGCGGCAAAAAATGCAGTGGAGTCTTTCCGTTGATACCTTGTGCCTGAACTGATGCGCCTCTGCTAAGCAGTCTCATAATTCTACTGCATGAGCCCATTGCTGCCAGATGCAATGGCTGATAAGAAGATGAGTCTGGTCTCCTGATTGCGGTGGAATCAAATTCAATATGGATTCAATGATACCGATGCACTCTTCGGTATCCCGATTCCAGCCAACCTGGATGGCAAAATGCAGCGGGTATGTATGACTGCCCTCATTGCCAGGCAATTGTAATCTAGTGCACGCGAATTAAGAGCATTGTTCGAATAAGATACGTAAAGCGTCGACATCTTGGTGACCAATCGCCTGGGTCATGGCTGTTTTCCCCTCTTAAGACGACTGTCGTAGTAGGTCCCGTGGGAAAAGCTGGATAATTTTTCGCAGGTTGTGAATATAAGAGCGACCATGTCTTGCAAGTCGTTTAGCATGGGTTTGAGTGCACAGAGCACAGGCAATTGGAAACTTTCTCAGGAAAGGTGTATTTGATAAAACGGAGCAAAGCGGTGCAGTTTGACTGGATATCTTTTGCCAAAGAAGCTCTATAATATTCGGCATATTATAATGCATCGCAAAATGAATTGGAGTCCATTCCGAAGGCATCTCGGTCACACAAAATGCGGGTTTGAGCGGATCAGCACCAAGAGCCAGGAGAATCATGACGGCCAAAGTATTGCCCTGTGGCGATGTCTCCGATGAGTATCATTTTCGTCTTGATCGACCAATACTTCGCTTTCATATAGGATCTTAAGGAACCACAGGACACATATTCAACGGCGACGAACGGCGATAGCTGCCTTCCAACCATTTTCCAGCCATACCCCCAAAATATCGACGATGTTTAGATGATGAGCTAGTGGCTGATGGCACATGATGAGGACTTTTCAGAGAACTGCTTAAGAACTGCTTAAAAACTGCTTGAAGACGTGGGTGCAGTTCGAATTCGATTCATTTTCGTGATGTCGTATGTGTTTCACGGCAATCACGTTTGATTTGAATATGCATTTGCAAACGACAAAAGTCTCGCTGTATGCTACGCATCGGATTGTTACAATCTCGTTAAAGGGGAGATTCCTCAGGTTCAATTTCTGTGTCGTTCGCAAGAGACCCTCGAGACCGTTTATAGCCTCTAAATCGAGGTTTTGGCTGATCCTGAGACCATTTACTGTTGAAACACGGGTTCTGAAAATGGATGCCGTCCGTGCTATCATGTCTGTCTCCGAGCGATTGGTTGTCGCGCCTGTTGAAGCTTTTATTAGCCAATAAGAGGGACATTTTCGAAATTCATCACTCACAGTGAAGCCAAAGATCATCAAATTCTGCGGACATCGTCACCTACAAGGACGAGTCACGAGTAGGTCATCAGAGGAGCATAGTAGGCAATGCCTAGACATCAACAATAGAAATACTTATACCCCTAGAGGATTGGAGAAGATGGCTGAACAGTTTGTGACGAGGCTGAAGCTCGTTCTGTCTGGATGTATGGTTCTCCAGGGGCTCACCGCATCATCAACGCCAACTTATGGTGGTCTTTTGCGGGATACGTAAACATAGTTGGATTCAAGATCAGCAGCACTTTCATTTTTGTACATTTACGTACACCACATCGTCCGTCGTGATGCCTGCTGACCTTGGTCTTTCTGCCACTGGATTGACGATCAGCGGCGTCGATGCCCTTATAAGGCTAGGAAAAAGGCTCGGGGAGGTCATGTCGGATGTCAATGCCTTTGAAGATGTAAGAGTTGAGCACATATACTGAACATGTTATCATCTCTGACTTTTGAATTGAGCAGGTAGCAAACCATGTTTAGATAAGCCTTGGTGTTCGAGCTTTGATTCGAGGTAGACATCGCGCCGAACCTGGAAGTAGGTATCCATGCCCTTCCCACTGTTTGCTTTATGCAAAGGTGAGGTGACCTGGCTTCGTTCCATTCTTGGCATGCTCTAACTGGGTTTAGTCTAGCATCCTCTATTGGGAATGTCAAGAGGTCGGATTTGGTCGGATTTGGGTCGGATTCGGATCAAATTGAGTCTGTTGTTTTGTTTATGTAATTAATATTGTGAATTACTCTGTCAAAGAATCCCGAAGTCCGCTCCGGGGTCGAATAGGCTACGTTAGTCGTGGCTAGTCTATGATTTACTGTCTGAATTACGACATGCATGCCCTCAAGTTCTCATAGGCCATCTAACGAGTTCCTCATGATTGATCGGCGCAGATTTAAACGCCAGCTGAACGCCAGCTGAACGCCATTGTCTCCACAGACGAAAACGCCAGATTGGACGACAGCCGATAATACCCACAACAGATTACCTGATTGGGATACGATCCGCTTTATGATGGAACCACAGCACAACACATCAAGTCTTCAGCTGAAATTGCAACAATATGGCGCAGCTGAAAATGCCCGGTTTCGAATCGTGGGGTCTTTCTATACCGCTAGATCGAAGTGGGATGGTTTCTTTGCTCTTCAGTGTTATATACCGACTCCATCCCCCGTAGATACGCAGTGACCCATTCGACAAATAGACACAAAAAAGAAAGCAAAAAGCAACATGGCACGCGACCAGGAACTCGTCTCGCTTTCCTCCTTCGGAAACGACCTCCTGGTCAGCGGCCACTTTGCATCTCTCGACTCTACGGACTTTTTCTCTAACGAGATCAAGGGCGTTCCACGCAAAGACCTCACTGTCGCTCCCGAAGATGCTCCAAAGCGACTGACCGGCCCTTTCAAATTATCGGCCTGGTCTACTCTCGCATCTGCAGCATCTGCAGCATCACCGGAAGAGCCGGAGAGCCTGATTGTCGGCGGTGCGCCTGTGCGAAATGTCTCCCTTGTCGTGGGCGACCAGAACGGCCTCTACGATGACCTGAAGGTGATGCCTATCCCGGTCGCTGGGTCCGCAAAAACAGGAGGATCTCTTCTTGTTGCCCCGGTCAGAAAGGAGGAAGGACAGCCGATGCTTTTCCTGCCTGCGGAGAGCGACAAGGAAGTTTCGTTCCCCAAGGATACCACTGCTGTGCCGTTGTCGGAGCTTACTAAAGAGCTCGACACGTCCAAGGGCAAAGTCGGTGCGGCTGCAGTTGACTCGTATGTCCTGAGTGGTGATCTTGAGAATTTCTTTGGCATCAAAGGGCTTACAGGAAAACTGTACTCGTTCAAGAGTGACGAGAAGAAGCCGGATGGTAAGGATAAAAAGGGAGAAAAGGAAACAAAGAAAGAAAAAGACGGCGAAGATGATACACCCGAGAAAAAACCCGACGAAGTCGATACGGAGGTGAAGGATGAGAAGCCCACAGACGAGAAGAAAGAGAAGCCAGACGAGAAGAAAGAGAAGCCAGACGACAAAAAAGATGGAGAAAAGAAGGATGAAAAGAAGAAAGACGACAAAGACACACCGGTCGACGAAAAAGTCAAACTGAAGGATATGGACTCTCCACTCTCAATTCTCTTCCCAGAGATCGAAAACAAAGCAGTCGAAAAACTCCCTATCAAAAACCTCGCATTCACCTACAGCAACAAGGCAAAAGACAGTCTGTTCCCTGCTGGACTGCGCCTGGAGGGTGATCTGGAGCTCAAAGATGGCTTGCAGTTCATGTCGGACGCCTTGAAGAATATGTTTGGCAACGAAAAGGCAGCTGAGTTACCGAAGGTACTTCGGGTCAGTGCTCATTTGGCCGAGGAGAGAGACTGGAGCAAGAAGCCCAAGATTGGAGGGATGGTTCTTCAGGCTTCGCTTGGCGATATGAAGCTGCCCAAGTGGGACTTCCTAGAGTTTAACACTGTCGGGTTTGAGCTGTCAGTCAGGAAGGAAGGAGCCGAGAAGAAGAAGGATGACAAGGAAAAAGACGACAAGAAGAAAGAAGATAAAAAGGGAGATGAAGAAGGGAAAGAAAAGAAGGATGACGACCAAGAAGACAAAGAGGATTCTTCATCGAAGCCCACGGAAGGTGCACCTCAGGACGCTGCCGCCATAGAAAGTACCGAAGTCAAAGAAGATCCTCCGGCCGAATCAGAAGGCACTGTGACCAAGAAGACAGAGAAAAAGGTGAGAATCAATTCTTGCACGACTAAGAGTTCGAATTGATGTTTAACGTTTTAATAGGAAACTACCGAGGATCCCAAATCGGAAGAAAGCAAGGGAAAAACGAAAGACGACAAAGACAAGGAAAAGAAAGAGAAAAAGGAATGGAAGGTAGGATATGGCTTGTTTGGCAAGCTACGGCTCATCCAATTGCCCAAGTCGAAGTTGCCGCTAGAAGGAAGATATTGGGTTCGAATGGGCGACTGGAAGGAAGAAAACAAGGACAACAAGAAGGACAAGAAAGATAAGAAGGACAAAGATGGCAAGGGAGGTAAGGAAGGAAAGGATGACAAAGAGGGTAAAGGTGAAGAAGGTAAGGGCAAGCCCGATGACCCAGCTGATAAACCCGATACAGAAAAGAAAGACAAGAAAGACGAAAAGACCGAGGAGAAGGGAAAAGGGAAAGAGAAAAACCAGGGAGGAAAGAAGTATGAATGTAGGTATTCCCAGTACCACCAACTAAAAAGGACTCCACCGACTGATGGCTCCGCGTAGTGGTCATCCAAACCGGTAAATGGAAGGATTTCTGCGGCATTTCAAACCTCAGCGTAAGTCGTCCACATTATATATATAGAGTATGTGCTAAACAGCTGACAATAAATAGATGAAAGAGGCTGAGCTGCGAGCCTTTTTCAAGCCTGAAGAATTCAAGGACACTTGTACTTTGGCAGTGACCGGAGCTCTGGAGTTTGCCCAAGGCAGTCTTGACAAGACTGATAAGAAGAAGGAAGACGGAAAGGAGGAAGGGAAGGACGATAAGAAGGGTGAGGAAGCCAAGAAGGTTGAAAAGGACGAAAGGAAGGAAGAAGCCAAAAAGAAGGAAGGAGGAAAGGAGGTGGAGAAGAAGGAAAAGAAAGACAAGGATGAAGAAGAAAAGCCCAAAAACGCCACTCTGAAGATCAAAGGCCAGCTATCCAGAAGTAAGTCCAGCATACTGCATTAGATACATTATGTGCTAACCTCATCGCAGAGGACTATCACTTCGATGCCAAGGTCGGAGATTTGAAGCTCGACTCGATTTTGAAGATATACGCCCAGATCAGTGGAGCCAAGCCATCCACGGAGGAAGTTAAAGGACACGACTTTACCTTCGAGGAATTGCATTTGAATATTGCTCGGAAGTTGAAGAAAAAGAAGGCCGATAAGGAGAAAGACAAGAAAGACAGTGAGAAGAAAGATGGAGAAAAGAAAGAAGGAAAAGAGATTAAAGAAAAGGGGGAGCAGGAGGATGGCGATGACAAGAAAGAAAATGATCAAGAGGTTGAGAAGCCGGAAAAGGTCGAGAAAGAGGATAACAAGAATGAAGTCGCAAAGAAAGAGAAGGCAAAGGGAAAGAAAGAAGAGGAAGAGGAGGCAAAATGGGCCTTTGAACTTTCCGGCAAAGTCAGCTTCAACGACGTCAAGAGCGTCCACGGCTTAGTCAAGATCGACAGTACTGGACTGACCATTCAAGGTGGATTGGAAGACTACAAAATCAAGGACATTGATCTCGAAATCAAAGAGGCAAAAATTGATGTCTTTATTGGAGCCAAACCCGATGAGGGGAAAAACAAGAACCAAAAGAAGATCGAATCCAAGCCTTCAGACAAGGATGAAAAGGCAGTTGTTAAACCTGCCGACAGTGACAAGTCCAAGGACGTCACGAATGACACGAGCAAGGACAACATCATTGCCTATAACCGGGCCAGCAAGTTCGCCATTAAGGGGAAGGTCGAGTTTCAGAAAGTGCCCATAACTGTTGCTTTCATGACGGAACGCAAAGAGACGAATGCAAAATCGAAGAAGACTTCAGAACGGGAATGGGTGCTGTATGGCGTGTACGGAGGAGAGCTCACTTTGTCCAGCATCTGTGGTGATCTTGGAGAATCAGCGATTGGAAAGATGCAGCTGAAGAATATTGCGCTGATCGCGGCATCCGGGAAGAACAAGACATTGGAGGATTTGAATGTGCTCAAGTATCCGGTCAATAAAGGTGACACAGAAGCCCAAAAAACTGTGTCTTATTAACACGCTAACTATAATATGTTATAGGAATCTCGCTTTGTGCCACTATTCCTCAGATTCAAGAAATAAACAGTTTAGCCAAGCAGGAGGTCGATGGGCTGGTTCTTGCTGCGACAGTTTACAAGAAACTGGATCTCCGAATTCACTTGCCAAAGGCTTTCGACGTCAGTATCCCTTTTTTTGAAAATGATGCAGACCATAGTCTAGCTAACTGTGTTCAAAATAGATCTCCTTCTCTCCCACCGTTTCACTCAATGAAATCGGAATTGGAATTGAAATCAGTCGCAACCCCAGCCTGATAGTCGAGGGTGTTTTGAAAATGCTTATGGAATCAGGGCAAGATCCATTGGAGCTCGAGGGAAAGGTCCGCGCCGGCCTAGTTAGCGTAGGGGCACAAGTGTATGCTCTCTGCAACTTGTCCTACTACGATTCGTGATGCTGATTGTTGTTTGTATCTAGTGCTGCAAAATCGCCATGGGTCAACCCCTTCAATATCAGCAAGGAAGTTAAGATTGCCAACTTCAGAGTGGAGTTCGAAATCAACTATGTCACGTTAATGGCAGCGGGTCCATCCATAATCGGCCTTGAAGGTGGCATCGAGGCCGGAGAGCTGTGCGCGGGAGCCGCAATGGTCGTCAGCCATTATCCAGATAACCAGCTTCTTACTGCCAATATCAGTAAAGTTGATCTCATTGAGATCATCCACGTTGCCGGTCAAGTTGCCGATATTCAGGTGTTGAAGGATATCGGGGGTGGCGAGGATACATTTGTCTTTACCGATGCATCGATGTATATCTCTACCGGTGCTACTATTGCTGATAAAGAATACCCTCGAGGCATCTCCGCCGGAGGAAAGCTCACGGCGTTTGGTAAAAGTGCCGAATTTGACTTGAGTATCGGTGCAGCAGGACTGGACTTCCAGGGGTATATCGACAATTTCAGTCTGGGACCTCTGGTCGTCCAATCTGCCAGTGGAGAGTCCCGAGCGGGCATGGTTGTTCTCATGACTAAAGACCAGCAAGTGATCAAAGTGGATGGAATGGTGACGTGCTTCAACATAGGCCTAGTCACTCTTATCGACATCCAGATGGGAACCGATACTCCCTCCTTTGACGCGTATATTGCCGTGAAGCTTACTGAAGCATTCCAAGTTAGCTTGCATGCGACAGTCGACGATTTTCACGAGGTCAAGGACCTGGCAGCAATTAAGGGGTTGTACTTCCATGCCCAAATCAAGGGAGACCTGTTCGACATGATCTGCGAGAGTATTAAGAATATGCTCAAATCAATTGAAGAACTGGGTACGCAAGGAATCGAAGCTATGCAGGATATCATCGGGGCCAAGATTGCCGAGAAGCAAGCTGAGATGAACGACATGGCGAAGAAGGTCGAAGGAGCAAAAGCGAAGGTCGATGCAAACCGCACGAAACGCCAAGAGGGCATAGATAAGGAAGCAGAAAAACGAAAGGAAGCCGAGGACGAAATCAAACAGCTACGTGATGATGTGAAGAATGCAATAAACAACCGAGACAAGGTGGAGCGTCAACTAAAAGAAAAGGTGGAGAAAGCGGAGCTTAAAAGGGACTCTCTGATCGCGGAGAAGACAAAAGAATACAACGACAAGTTGGAAAAGGCGAAGCAGGAAGAAAAAGCGAACCGGGACGAATTGGCTCGGCTCAGGAGACAGCAGGAAACCAAATACGGCATTAACTTCCTCGAAAAGGTCAACCTCGCCAGGGGAGCCTACGACGAGAAGAAGGCCGTCGAAAATAAGTCGTGGAAAGAGGTGGACTGGTTGCATCAGCAGAAACTCGCTGCGAATTGGTATGTTTTTGATCCTTTGCATTGCCTCGAGATGGAATGAATGCTGACTCCAGTTATCGCAGGCTCACTGTGGGCTATTGGGTATTACCTCCACACCCCGATGAAAATTCTATTCTTTTAGAGCTAACATGTTTTGACAGGCCACGAGACATGAAGCCGCCAAATTAGGACACGAAATCGTCAAGGCAGCGACCGCCGTTTACCTCGAGTCCGCAAATGCGCTGGATGCCACTGCCAATTCCGACGTGTTCAAAGCTCTCGTCACCGGCATCGCAGAAGCCGAGAATGGAGTCAAAAGAGCAGTTAATGGTATTGACAATCTCATCAAGGGCGGTGGCGTTGACGGGTTTGTCAGAGCATTTGTGGACACGGAAGAGGCGCGGGTGCAGAAAGCAATTAACGACCTGCATGCCATGCAGAATGAAAACAGTGATTTACAGAAGACCATCAGAAACGCCCAAGCCATTCTCAACAAGAGAGGACCAGAGCTCGAGAAGGAGATCGCAGAAGCCGATGAGGCCATCAAACAGATCGAAGAAGATGCAGAGCTCGGACAGCTAACTCGCGACTACGAGTACCAGCTCAAGGTCCACGATCAAGTGCACAATATCATCCAGGAGATGCAGGCGGGTCTGGAGACTCTCAAGGAAAACTGGCACAAAGGAATGGAGGAGCTTAAAAAGGTAGTGGATGAGGTTCAAAAGGCCATCGCGTCTGTCTTCCACGTTGAGAGGATCGAGGTTGGAGTCCATACCCATGCCTTGGTCAATGATAAACCTCTGATGTTTACCTTCGTTGGTACGGTGGGTGGCAAGAGGTTTGAAATCAAAGCAGAGTGGTCGCCAGGCAAGGCTCTCAGTGATCTGTACAAGACAGTCACAAACGAGATTCTGAAGCTATAAGCAAACTACCTAACATCAGCAGGAGGGGATTCGTATGTACTGCCGATTCTAGCTTAGCATAGGAATACCGCAGTTCAATAGAAGAACAGTCACTTGTTCCTGAACATTTCTGTATCTTGCTGACCGCGCGGATATAATCAGTCTGAAATTTCAGAGTTGTCTGACAGGATTGTGGCGATGCACTATAATGAAGGCCCGGTTTTTTACTACTAGATCAAGACTTCATTGAAAACTCTCCTTTCAGCTTTTAGTGGAACAAAGCCTTGCTAGTTACTGATATTACCTACAACTCCTATAGTTCTTTCAAACCAGTCATATCATAGACAACATCCATGTCAGCTGCAGTAGTCTGTGTTGGTTTCAGCTGTGCCTACTAACAAACTAGCGCATCATACCAAGGGCCCATACACTAGGCCTCGAAATGGTGCGGTCCTGTCCTATAGTCGGCTACCAAGGACCAGACCATGGTCCCTTGCGGTCTTGACCGCGAGGGACCGCAATTGCATAAAATTGCCAAGATTTTCCCTTTTCGGCTGGATAATTTGCTGATTCATCTAACTTTTTAACGTGACTCGCTACCGAGCGATCCACACCACCGAGCTATCCATTTTATCAACCGACATGAAGATATTCGATCTAGATACACCAAACCGTATGATTATCAGCGTGCTTTATGCGAGGATCCAAAGGTGATTGGGAAATGGTTTCAATTGGTTAAGAATATGGTTGCAAAGTATGGTGTTCAGCCAGAGGATATCTACAACTTTGATGAGACGGGTTTTGCTATGGGGATCATTGCCACAAGCAAGGTGCTCTTGTCCAATTTTATATGCATTTTCTGTAAATTCTAATGCATGAGCGTCTTTATTAGGTGATTACAAGCCAACAGGATAGCCGAGCACGCGTATGCCAGCCAGGGAACCAAGAATTGGTCAATTATTGAGGCTATTCAAAGCACTGGCCGAATCCTCCCTCTAATGATTATCTTCGCAGGCCAGCTACATCAAAAGGAATGGTATGATGAGCTTCTACCTGATTGGGTCATTGGAACAAGCCCTCAAGGATGGATTAACAACGAGCTTAGCCTACTTTGGTTAAGGGAGGTCTTTCAATGAGAATATCGAGTCTGGAGAAAGAAAAGAAGAGGAAACCTATCTAGAGGATGAAGGGTTTTCTTATAATCGCCGTACGGCAGGGTTCTGCTCATGTCTGTGTTGTCTGTCATTATTAGTCTTATGCGTAGTTTCGAGCCGTATGAGCGACGTCAAGCCGTATATACTACGTCAAGATGTCAAGCCGTCACACACACCAAAGACCGGATAGCTGGGGTATACAGATTACTTGTTTTGGACGGTCATGGAAGCCATGCAACTGCAGATTTTGATCACTTTTGCAAGGAGAACAAGATTATACCTCTCTATCTGCCTCCACATTCATCTCATATTCTTCAGCTGCTCGATGTCTCTTGCTTTGGGCCTCTAAAAAGGAGGTATGGGAGTGAGGTACAAAGCTGCATAGCAGCCAATCTTCAACATATTGACAAGAAGATATTTCTAAATATCTACAAGAACCACGCTCGTCCGGAGGCTCTTACGGATGCCAACGCCATTGCTGGCTTCGCCGCTACAGGTTTAGTCCCATATAAACCTGAAAGAGTACTTGAAAAGCTGCATTTTTGACTCAATACTTGTGACGGGCTGGTCACGTGTATACCTCTCACGTGCTGGAAGCAAGGGATATAAGTCTCGTCAACGCTGATGGCACATCATTCTTCTTCTTCTTTCCTCATGTTGATTATTCTTGTCGATAGCTACCTAGGTAGAGCACATGAGTTGATGTTCCATTATCCTGGCTGAGCTCCGTGACAATACTCCTACCCCTCCACCCGAAGTTCTCATTCAGATGGATCATCTTGGACTGCAGAGACACCAAAAACAACCAAGGAACTGATAAAACAGTCCCATTTAATCAAGCGAATGTGGCGAGAGCATACAAGGAGCCCCCCAAGTCCTATACAAAGTGCAATTGATCAGGAGGTTAAAAGTTGCAATATAGCCATGTCAGAGGCACTTCTTTTGAAGCAGGAATTTTCCAATACATGAGCCACCAACAATCGCTACAAGCGAAAGCGAGATACAGGCAGAATTTACCTTCAAAATGGTGGTATTCTTACTGGAGAAGAAGGCCAGGAGCGTGGACAAGAGGAGGCTCAATTATATACATATACACGAGAGGAAGATGAGCGGCCAAGAAAACGGGCACCTCCTACATGCAGTATTTGTTGTAAGACAGGGCACACACGCTCATCTTGTGTAAAAAAAAAAAAAAAAAAAAAAAATGAGAGATTTTAATTGATATAAATAGAATGCAAATTAGAGTTCATTTAGGTGGTCAAAGGAACCACATGCCACAAGGAATCAGCTGCCAATCACTGAAAATTGACACCTACTAAAGAAAAGACACTCTCATCATAGATTATTGATATAGGCCAGCATGGTCTACCTCTACAAACCTCTACTGTATGCTATTCGTCACAGTTATTACTGTCTGCACGGCTATCCTCCCAGACTGCCTATGTGGGCGAGTGTTGAGTGACTCGGTATATTCAATGCCATGATGAACTCTCCTCTAAATACAGCCGAAAATATGACTACCAGCGTGCCAAATGTGAAGATACAGAGCTTATTATGGGGTGGTATAAGCGCTTTCATGATGCTATTGAAAAATATGGGATTCTTGAGCAAGATATCTGTCACGGGCTCGGAATAGAAGATAATAACGAACTGAATTCCTACCTAGACTATTGTAGCCATCAACGAGAATATCGAATCTGAAAAGAAAAGAGAAGAGGAAATCTATCTAGGGAAAAGAGGGGCTTTATAGGCGTTTACTTGACGTCGTTAATGTCTTTTCTGGCGTATTGATGTCGGTTGTCTGTGTCGGTCTTTGACGCAGTGTTGAGCCGTTGATACTGCGTTGAGTCATCACACAGCCGTCACAATATCTACATTTACAATATGGATGAAACTGGATTTCAGATGGCATGACAATTGACATCCACAGCCAAAGTTATATGTGGCTCAGAGACTCGGGCAAGCAATGCCAAAGCCTTACAGCCTGGGAATCGTGAATGGGTAACTGCAATTGTTGCAGTAAATACAACTGGGTGGGCTTTGCCTCCTCAGATTATCCTGGCTGCAGACAACCATCAATCTCAATGGTATCATGCTATTCCAAATGATTTTATAATCAGTGTCAGCCCGAATGGCTGGACAAATGATCAATTAGGCCTGGAATGGCTTCAAACTGTCTTTGAGCCATATATAGAGGACGAATCGAGTAATCCATATATACCGATATATATCGATATAGATAGACATAGACATAGATGATGTTGACATGGTATAGAACAATCCGTATGGCCTTGTATTAGGGTCAAACGGGCCATATTTGGGCTTTGGGGCGGGTTCAGGGCGGGTCTCCGGGTCGTCCGGTGACACTCTAGATACCATTAATGAAGAGCAACTGGAAAAGCAAGATCTCATGTAAATTCATTTCTTAGTAAAAGATAGGGGAACAGAGAATATGAACCAATTCATTATATAAAAAATAGAGGGAGATAGCATAAGCTTGAAATGCTGGTCAATGTAAATGAAGAGGAAACTGGAAGTGGAGGTGAAAGGGTGCAGCTGCAATTTCTTAAAAGAAAAAAACAAAAAAATAAAAATAAAAAAGAGGGGGTAGCGGAGTTCAAATAACCAGGAATATGGATGAGTGCAGAATATGGGAGGGAGTTTGAGAAGAAAAAAAGATTTGGGAGGGGACGAAGTCAGAACAGTTAGGGTGTCACGGGCTCGGAATAGAAGATAATAACGAACTGAATTCCTATCTTGACTATTGTAGCCATCAACGAGAATATCGAATCTGGGAAGGAAAAAG